AATAAGAATAGTTTGCTATCCTTGCAACGCATCATTGTCAGTCGGTCAGACAGTGAAGAAGAGAAGGACAATCATATTGAGAGTAAAACAAAAACAGTGGACAGAAATCATTCAAATGGGAGTCAAGTACCTCAGGAAAAAGTCAGCAAAAGAGATAACCCTGTGGTGGAATCTGTAACAGTGAATACTTCTGCAGCAATTATAAAAACAAAGGTAGCACCTGTTAATAAAGGAAAACTTAAACAAGCTATTTCCAAAAGTGAAACAAGTACTAATGTAACTGTCACAAGTCTACAAGAAGGAAAGAAAAGCACTTCCAAACCTCTTACTGGAGAGAAACAAGGAATTGTAACTTCATCAAACTTTCAAAACAGTAAAGATTTACCCCCAAAGGAAAAGTTGAAGGACAAAGATAAGGAGAACCTAAACAGCAAACAAGTGATACAAAAATGCAATGAAATTGTGTCAGTCAATGCTGTCAGTCTTGAAAACAAGGCTAAAACTAGTGGTAACAAAGCTATCAGTCTTGAAAGCAAGGCCACAGCTAGTAGTGCGAAAGATGCCAGTCATGAAAACAAGGCTACAGCTTGTAGTGAGAATGATACCAATCATGAAAACAAGGCCACAACTTTTAGTGAGAAAGCTATCAGTCATGAAAGCAAGGCCAAGATGTGTATTAACATGGAAACAAAGCCACTTGTGATAGAGTTGAAATCAGAGACTAAGAATGAGGAGAAAATGGACTTTGATCAGCTCAGTATTGAGGATGAGGACAGTGATTTTGAAGAAGAGGAGGAGAATCCTCCTACTGTGAAATCTAGAGTAGGATTGAAAAAATACCTACTGATTGCCGCAAGAGAAGGAGAAGTAACTCCAAAGAAAGTGACAGAAAAAAACGTTCCCACTCACCAGAAAGATCTCGTACTTCATTGCGTTCATACCACAGTCACTCGCGTTCACGTGACAGACTGCAAGATCAACACTTACACAACAGGTTTAGGGAAAGACATCTTCATAGAAGGTCGCATTCACCATCAACAGATAGAATTCATAGAAGGCAAAATTATAGCCATCGCCAGAGGAGTCGTAGTAGAGACAGAAAACATGAAAGAATTTCTAGAGACAGCCAAAATAATAGGTTTCACCGTTCTCACTCCAGGTCAGACTCACGAACAAGGAGCAGAAAAACTAGGAAACTAGTCGAGTCAAATATAGAAAAATCAGACAAAAGAGACAGTATGAAAAGTGACGTTAAAAAACATCTGGAAAGGAAAGATAAAAGTAAAGATAAAATTACTACAACACACTCGTCAACATCACCAAGAAAAGAGATGAGAAATCAGGATAAAAGTGACACTGAAAAAATGTCCAAAGTTAGAGGAGCTTCGTCAACAATTAAACAAGGTGCCAGTGAAAGCAAAAGTACTTCAAAGCGTACAGTTCAGAGGGATGTGGATGTGGATGGTGCAATAATTGTAAAACCCAAAGGTTAGTTGGTACATTTACATGTCGGCTTTCTTTAGTGTTGGGACCTACCCAAGGAAGGCCTCTGCAACCAAGCATTGCGAGTATCTTATGTCCTCAAATAAGCACCTGCTCTTTAGGAGGTGTCTTCCTCTTAAAACCACCCACACCTAAGGCCACAGTGTCAAACAAGTGCCCCTTTCAAATAAGCAAACCCCCCCCCTTCCTCACTTCACTTCACTTCCCCAAACAGCATGACCTGTTCCTATTGCCACTCTATTTATACCTTTTTTCTCTTCAGCAGAATCAGTACAAGAGAACTGTAACTTTTCAGTTAGAGTCCCTTACATTTGTTTCTATCTCCATGTGCTTGCAGAGTTCCTTCTTGTGGGTTACCTGTTCTCTTAATTGTTGTCCTGTTGTGGGGCTAACTTAACCCTTCAACTCCCAGATCAAATTTGTAATTCTCCTTACTGTCAACCATACAATTCTTATAATGTTAGTTCAGAGAATGTAGTATTGGATCAACAAATTATCCCCAAATTGATATTTTCTTTTATTCTCATCACTTATCTGGTTGATATTGTATTGATATTGTAAGGAGAAATTCTGTCTTGGTCACTCATGGGAGTTAAAGGGTTAATAAGTGCCCCCCCTTCAGTAAGGGCCCCTTCTCTTAAATAAGTTCCTGAGGGACTTATTTGAGGAAATATGGCATATCGAAAATTCTTAGTTGTTTTGACTTGTACTTTCCAATGGAATATTAATGAAGAGGTGCTCGGAATATTATTTAGGGGAAATTTGATGCAATGTCAAATTCTCCTTGTGTTTGACTTGGTAATGTACAGAATTGTGGATGGAGAATCTGACAATCTCTTATCATTATCATTTATGCAGTGCTAATGCAAAACAAAAAAGTTGACAACTTTTTTTCTTCTTACAGACCTGAGGTCTCGACTTTCAGGGAAGAAAGGAGGTGAGAGGAAAGCTACCCAGAATGAAGAGCTGAACAAGAAGAGATCTCCAAAAAGGGAAACAAAAAAGTTTTCCAGGGAACGAGAGCTGGATGTGCGTATTCAACAGATAAAACAGAGAAATGAAGTTATTTTGAAGAGAGCTAAAGAAGTCCAAGCAGAGAAAAAGAAATTTAGCTCATGACAAAGAGGAATTTTTAGGTAGTTTCTTCACGATTATTGTTTGCCCTATTCCCAAATGAAATTTTAATTGAGAAGTAAAATTGTTGTCCTCTCTAAGTAAAAGTTTTGCTTTTCTTCGTCACAGTTTTATTGTTCTGAAATTGTTATTTTCCAGGAAAATAGAGAATTATGATTATTATTGTTTGCAGAGCCCTACAGTTACTGATTAGGAGCGGACGTGCTTATAACATTTAGGTTTCTCAGCATTTTTTACTTAAGAGTGTGGAGGTTTTCCAGTAGGCTGTTATATTGTGTAAGTGTTCAGGGGCAAACACTTATCACTGAAAATATGGCAAGAGTACCTTTTTGTCACCCTCATGTTGCAAGAATGAATATATACTTGCAGCGGGTATTTTTACATGCATGTAAACATGCTTAAGTTGCATAATGCTTACTTTCAGCGCAATTAATTTATAGATAGGTAAATGGTATTTTCATTTCTTAGTGGAAGGAAATGCTGGTGTTAACACTTTAGTATTTGTATTGCCCTACGTTTGAACGGGTTGGATATTTTTTATGGCCACCTTAGACCATGCTTGCTGTGTTCAGTAATGATATACTTGTTCCTAAATTGCATAATTTCCCCCAAGGTTTAGTCACAGATGTACCAGTGTTAACTGTTTTGTGTTGATTAAGATGGTCTGAATTGTGGTAGCATACCCATTCATAAGCTTCATAATCACATCTACCTGCCAAGTTTACACTTTACTTACTCATTTGAGTATTTTTGAGATATACATTTACCTTGTGATGGTCAAGTTTTAAGCTCATGTCAAATCTTTCATTGTAAGTGAGATGAATATTTTTTGCTATGGATAAAGTGGAACATGTAACTTGACAAATCGTTTGGTTTTGGTGTGAGAAAAAAAAATAAGTGTGGGGGCAGAACAGAAACAAATATTGCATGCACTGTGGAGTTTAGTTGTAGTAATTATATTTTGGTGTAATAAATTTGTATTTTTAGAGTTTTTTTTCACGTTGATGTGGCTTGGAGCTACAGCTTTTCCTAAAACATCGTATGAATGCTTCTTGTCGTAGAGACAGTTGGCGTGACGATCCAATTTCCGTGTTTTGCAACGACATGTTGATTTAATTTATGTTAATTGTTGGGAGTTGATGTTCGAGTCAAACCATTCATTGAATTCCACATACAATTGGAGGCAAATAAGACTAAAACTATCGACAGAACCGAAAGCGAAACCCCAAATTACACCAAATCTTTTCACGAGGTTTTCCCATCTCAAGACTAGTGCACGTGTCCAGGACAAAACTACTCATTATGCATCGTGCACTCAAACGTCCTTAAGTCACTGTCATTCAGACCAAGGTACAAAATAACTCAAGCTTTCAATGCCACGAGTTCCCAATGCTCCTTTAAAAACTGTCCTCTCTGCAAAATTTTCTCTACCGTCCAACTTCAATCTAGAACCAGTACGAATATCGAAAAAAACCTCATTCCCTTTGTTGGCCTGTTATTTACTGAGTGGCACAGTCCAGTTTGTGTTATTGCAATTTGCAATTCTTTTAAAGCAAATCTTCAGTTTTGTGTTTAAGACTTGTGCGTTGCGGACAAAACTTGACCATCTGTTATTTTCAGGATCTGTACTTTACTAGCGTTACAGTGATACATAGTTTTCCATGGTTTCTGTTTAAGTAGCGCGCAAAGGACGATTTTTTTTCTGCTAGAAGGCACCTCGTTTTGTGCATAGTAACCTTACCTTTACATCCTAACATCAGTCTGCATATTCTCCATACCGTTCTCCTTACATTTCTAACGATGCTAATAAGGAGAATTTGTTTAACAATCAAGAGTTTCTTTATATGGTGATCACTTCCTTTCTTCTCATGACCTTAATGTGTGATTCAGAGGTGATGTTGTAAGGAGAAGTTAGATGCCAGTCACTCTTAGGGGTCCAAGTAACCTCAATTCCCAACCCGTCTGCCCTTTTAGGCCTGAATCATTATCAAGGATGAAGGAGTAAGCTATTGGTTGGGGGCCGGACAACCAAAAAAAAAAAAATTGGGGTACATTCCTGGTAAGGTTGATCGTGTTTTGATCTTGCACCTCACACTGAATTGTAGTTGGCAACAGACACATCGCAAAATCTGCAACATCTTTAATAAAACTCAGTTGTTCGTCTTTCTTTTCTTTCTTTTTTTTTACTACAAAAGAATGTTCCCATGTTCAATCAGTGTAACCTAGGAGCTGAATGCATGCAAAGTTACAATCATTCTTTGTTGGAGCTCTGGGATTGAATGTAAAATTAACAACCCATATAAAAATCGTTACTGGGCCATAATAAAGCAATACTACATCTGGGTGACCCATAAGTTTTTTTTCACAGCTGATTGACCTTTGAGGCGGAAAACAAGAACTTTCACAACTGTTAGGTAAAAAAATTCCTTAATCATTGATCCGATGATAATAATTTCCTAGATAAAAACCGATGAGTTTATTTCTCTAATTATTTACTTCATAGTTCCTAATGTTAGTTTCGAGAATTTAATGTTTTGTCTCTACATAAAAATAATCTCAAGCTTACTAGCCACCTTCCATAGGACGCTGTGTGTGGGGAAGCCAATCAGACGGACACGGGCAATCCCCCCAACCCCCCCACCCCCGCCTGGGGAATAACGATTTTGGGGAGAGACGATTCTCGCGTGCGTCCCGCTTCCCACCTAAGTATTGCGTGTACATTTTCGCGCGCGTTTTCCCACGTCTTCTCCAAGCCATGCGGGGAGCTGGAACCTTTTTTTTCGTAAGAACTATTTACAAACTTATTTCTTCATGACCCGCGGCAGATTCTCCTGCCTTCTTTCAGAGTGCAATTTCGCTGTGTCCGCCAAAAGTTTAGTTTTTCGCTCGTCGATCCAAGTATAATCGCTCGACGGCTTGGCCGATTTTGGCGACGTACTCGCAAAAGGACTGGCCCCTTGAAACGAATCTACACCGTCCAGTTTTATATAGTTTAAATTGCCCTGATTCTGCTGTGAAACGACATTCACGTACATTCGATCCATATGCCCCATGTTTTTATAGGAGGGAAGCCCACCCATCACGTTTGCGTACGAATGACCGGCGATGTTTTCAAAACTGTGACTTCGCGAGGGATCGTTATTCATGACATTCCGATAGCCCGGATGTGAAGGCATTAGCGATTCCACACTGTGGTAAATCGAATCATCGTTGCCATCATATATTTCGTACGGGTTCAATTTTGATTTACTGCTCGTACCAGTCTTTGCTACGCCCGTTTTCGCGCGGGATCTCACGCCAGGGCTTGCACGGGCACCTTTGACATTAACATAATCGACGACTTTCGGCGAATTCACGTAAAGGTGCTCAGCACTGCCAGCAGTTGAGGTTGGCTGAAGAGAAAGGCTTGGCGGGTTCTTCATACCGCGACGCGTAGACACACTACCGGAGGTTCCATTCACATGTTTTCCGACCGCTTTCACACTTGCATTGTTAAGTGTAATGTCACCATTCACGTAGTCAGGATTTTTATCAGCATTATCACTTGTGTCACGTACAGTTTTAGTTCCCTCTGGAAGAAACACGTCGTCATTATTCGTCATCTCTTCTCTTCCATTTTCAAGTTTTTCTTCGTCGGTTTCAGTACAAGGAGTGACAATTATTTGACACTGCCCTCCTCCTTTCGACGCTCGTTGATTTTCAATTTCGGATTTTTTCCTCACATCCTCTTCCTCCTGCTCCTCTTTAATAACAATGTTTGCAACTTGATCGCTTTGTCGTTTCTCTGAAGCAGAGGACTTCTTCTTCCCACCCTCTGACCCGCGGGAAGTTCTCTCGACAGAGTCTCCGCGTTTTTCCTTTGCATATGAGTTTGTCCTTATTTTTTCAAGTAGTTCTTCATCTCTTCCTTCTACTTCGACGTATCCTTCCACGCCATCAATTTTATCGTTTTCCGGTCCACTCTGACGTTTCCCCTGTGATTTCTTGCGCGGGGTACCTGTCAAGGCCTCGTCATCCGCCGGTTCCATTACTTCATATCCCTCGGGTGTAACCCCGGGTATATTCTTGTAACCGGGGGGTGGGTTTTTGGGAGAGACTGCAGCATTTTTTTCGCCATTCAAAAATACTTCATTAAAACTATCGGCGTGATCTCGACCAGCTCCTATGTTCGAGGGTACAGACTCATTTCTCCGTACCAAATACTTTTCTGCCTCTATTGGAGATCTCTGCTCGGTACTTTCAGCCTTGCTTTTCTTCCCCTGGCTTGAGGATGGCATGCTCATGCTCCTTGGTCTGGGTGCTTTCCCTTTATGCGACCGCTTGCCGCTCATTCGAAGCCAGGCGCGCCTGAGAAACCCTGGTCGCCTGTCGTCTTCCTCGCTGGTGCCAGGCTGACTTGAGTCTGAAAAAGAGAATCAGAAAAGAATTTCTTAACCTTTAAATAGCTTATTTTCACTCTCTCGATTTTCAGAAACAACCCGAACAAACTTAGCAAAAATATGCCCCGCTCTTTCAAAAGAGTCTCGTCTTGAAATAGAGGTAACAAAAAACGAAACAATGCGCCCGGACCTCTTTTTGTCGGAAAGACCTTACTGAAGGAACAGAATCAAGTGAGTACTTTCCCGAGCTAAACATTTTGTCCTACAAGTTCGTTTGACAGTAATTTCAGATATCACGATTGTATTGATTCTCATGATGGAAAAAACTGCTGGAGATAATAAACAACATTGTGTTCTTCGCGAATTCAAACGCGAAAATCTTAGTAAAAGTCTGTTTTGTTGTTGATTCCAGGGGAAAAAAATCAGAATTCTAATTGGATGGTTTCTTTAACTGAAACCCCAAAATACAAGGAAGCACGAACTTAAACATTTTCAAGGGAGACAATTCTTTGAGTACTATAAATTGATATCTGTAGAACACCAAAACAACAAGGTAAATAATCTATATTAACCAAAATCGATTTATGGGCCCTCATATTTAGTTCTCTGCTCATTTAGAGCACAAGCACTGTGTCTTACAGCTAAAACCATATATGCCTTACTACTGTTACCATGGCTCTGTAAAAACACAAAAGTGACACATGAAGCGCAGGTAAGTGTGTCACTGATATCCTCACCACATTTTGACATCCTCTATAATCTATTACTGTACAGAGCCATGGCAACAAGGAAATCTCTTTATTATGTATGATAGAAAAAGCAAAATATTGTTCATGGTGACATCGCCTATGTGTCTGTCTTCCAATAGATCATAAGTAGGAACCAAGCAAATTGCATGTATCATTCAGTTTATCATACAAAAAAGCCTTATGCTTAACAGCATACCTGATAGACATTCTTGACCTGGAACCACCTCTCCTGCTCTGCACACACTGTCAAATAACGAATGTATCTCCTTTCCAGCTCGAGTGGCAAAGAAGTAAGTCATAAGTTTATCCCCTGATTGGGACTCCTGGCTAGCCTGGAAGGCAAAACCTGCTTCCACAGCACCATACTTGGGTAATGCTGTAAACTTCCAGTGACCAATGAGACGATAGCTGTCCTTCTTGGTGAGAGAGAAGAAAGTGGCATAAAAGCGCAGGTGAGCTTCTCCAGCTTTGATCTTCTGCTTGTGTGGCACAATACCCTCAAAGGATTTTTCTGAGGATGAAACAACACAAATGGTACAATTAACTTCCAACTTCAGACACCAGCATCTGAATTGCTCCAACTGTTATCAGTCTTAGAAATCAGTTCTATTAATTTGCATTTTCATTGGAACTTTTAGTTCCATGAGTGCATGAGTGACAAAAAAATAACCTCTCCTCCCAATGTCAATATATTTTCCACAAGCAAGGCAATGACAATAAAGACAAATACAAAGTGGGCAATAATGTTTGATTTACTTCCAAATTGTCACAGCCCAAAGGCACACTACGAAGACATCTTAAATTGAGACCCTAGAGGTGAAAGGCTTCACAAAAAAATCTGATTATTTCAGCATTCTGACACTACCTTGTAATAAAATTTTGCACATAAAGGAATGTCAAAAGATCTGATCAATCAGATCAGACCATTAAGTTTCCGTGTTAACACTTCCTCATTTATTTGTAAGAGAATTTTTTAACTCTTTAAGTCCCATAAGTGATCTAGGCAGAATTTCTCCATACACTATCAGTATGATATCAAGCAGACAAGTAATGAGAATAAAGAAAAATATCAATTAAGGGATTATTGGTTGATCCAATTCCAAATTCTCCAAACTAGCATCAAAAGAATTGTGAGACGGACAGTAAAGAGAATTACTAATGAAATCTTGAGAGTTAAAGGGTTAATTGACCTAGCCCCCAATGTGTGCCTTTGAACTAGTATCTAAGAGGCATGGGTTTCAGGCACTGGTTTGAGGCACTGGTTTGAATCCCATTAGAGCCTGAATTTTTTTTTTTGGCTTTTTAATTCATTACCTTGCCTTACAAGTGATATCACCACAGTCAGGTTCTCACAATGTCTACATTTATGTTACATAATTTTATATCAACATACTTAACGTCTTGTATCAAATAACCTGTCTTATATTTAGGTATAGCAATCTTCTAAAAATGTTAAATAAGTTAGTTTAAGGTCAATCTGGGTACATTCTTCGGAATTATCTTTCTTTAAATGACACTAAAGTATGTGATCGTTGTCAAATTAATTAAATTTAACCTGATCTAGTGCAGAAATCAATCTTGTTCACCTGGAAATTTTTCCCTCACTATGATCTATTGGTATTAAAATACAAGATTCAAACTTCTCAAAATTCTTAAACAGTAAAACTGGTGATGGCTTGTTCTCCAAATTTTTATATTTTCATAAGCATTATATGTTGTTTTACTTTTTTTACTGGTATTCAGTCTGTGGCTGTTCATTGTTTACAAAATATAAGAGTCAAATTTCTTTCAAAAGGAAATATCAAATGGTTCTTCAAATACACCATCTGCCTTTTGAGTCCTGTTGTGTTCCATTCAAATTCAAATTGGATACATATTAATCACAAATCAAAGCTGTAATATTCTTAACCTAAACAATTTTCAACTGAATTCTTCATTGTGACTTCTAAATTAGCTATGATCCTCTTACATAACAGTATCTACATAAGAATGTGGCAGGTTAACTCTTTACACTCCAAGATCAGTATGCATATTCTCCATACTGTTTTTAACATGTTTCCTATGTTGCTGATAAGGAGAACTTGTTTATGAATCAAGAGCTTCTCTGGTTGGTGATCATTTCCTTGATTCTCATTACCTGAATGTTTGATTCAGGGGTGAAATTTTAGGGAGAAATTAGATGCCAGTCACTCTTAGGGGTCAAAAGGTCAAAATGCTTATCATCAACAGGCAACTTTTACACCTTCTTTGATGAGAAACTTAAGAATTGTTACATATATCAAGTTAAATCCTGTCATCTACTCGAGAACTGTGCTATAAATAGTTCACAACAAAAAAAAAACATGCAAATTATTGCAATTTAGAATGTTCTAGGGGCTGACTTTTCAACGCATTTTCAATTTAAAAGAAGTTAGGATCTCCTAGAAGAGACACAACAGATTTAAGGAAAATTAAAGAGGCATTTATGTTCAATAACATAGTTTTTGTTTCGTGTCTAAGGGCATGCCAAGGGTCATAAAAATACAGATTATTTCTTTTTCTTTTGGATGGCAGCCAGTTGCGGATGCGATCCTTGATATACATTTTTCTTTCTTTTTTTTAAACTCACCTTTCCCAAAATGGCCTTGAAGCAGAGCCAGCCAGTCTGCTCTTTGATCTATTGTCTCAAAGCTTAGAGGAATCACCTCTTCTGTTGTTATAATGACGATCACATTGAAGTGTTTGTCCATCTTGTTGAGCACCTGTAATCCACTAAACCCCTTAAGGGAAAGCAGGGCCTTATGACGAGCTCCTGCATTTGTCTGATCTGAATGACGATCAGGATACAGCACAAGATTCAACACATCTACAAGGGAAGGAAAAAAATCAATTCAGAGAATGTAAAAGCCTTTATCAGTGAGAATGACACAGATACAATGACTTGATAGCTTCAACGACATAAAATGCAGTTAGCCTGTGAAGCTAAATTTGTCACTTGTTATCTTGATTACAGGTAAAAATACATGTTACTTCATACACCCTAATTGTGTTCAATTTTCTTGCAAGAGAACAGATTCTTGTTCCCTCCCAACTTCTGGCTTTGTAGCTCACTAGGCTGCAACACCCAAGTAGGTAAGCCTGCAATCCCTATCAAAGCCTAAAATTTCTTACACTTTTTTAATACAATTTTCTTGTAAGCTGTGACACTACAAAGAAAAAAATCATCACTTGTTGCCAAAATATCAGTTATTATATACAAAATATTTGAGATTAAAAAATGTAAGTCACCAAAACACAACATATTATTCTATTATAAAAAGCCAATGTAAACACCTGTCTATTAAAAATTCACTTTAATTGGAAAGTTCTTAGAAATTACAAAGAAAACGAATGGGCTCAAAGAAAAATAAAGCCTCATCTTAAATGACAAACAAACACAGCTGAATCAAGATGAGTGTATTATGTGTAAAGAAGAAAAAATCCACAAAAATAAACAACAAACATGTTACACACAGAGAGAAAAAACCAATGTCGTTTTTTTTTTCTAAGTAAAGGTCATTATGCTTTGTGGTTTGGCCAGAAAGTTATGCCTTAACTGGTAATTTCAGATCAGTTATCCTCATTAAGGGCTACAGCTATACCACATTACTTATAATTTCACAATTTCAGGAACACAACTTTTTTTTAACACATGTTTAAATCCAGGAGTCATGTAGAGTGATAATAATTACCAAGTTTTCAAACAAAACATGTGTTTGCAGCTGTATTTGGTCGACAAGACCCTCCATTTACAAAGCCTTTCAACAAACAATGTATTTTTGAAGCCGATGTTGTTATGGTTCGGTCACAGTTGAATACGGTATCGTTTTATGCTCACATGATCAAAAATCAATTTGGACTTCTATCAACAACATCAATCATAGTTTCTCAAGTCGCAATGACGAAATTAAGAAAGAAAGAATATTGAAGAAGATATTATATTAATGTGGTGTTATTACCAGTGTACAAAGAAATATAATAAAATTCATGTATGCATGAGACTAAGTATAATTAAGTCGTGTGTATCCCTCATTGAGAAAAAGCCTTCATGAAAGAATTAAACCAGAAGAAAAAGGTTCTGCGGGTTCAGCTTTATTTTCTATAAATCTTATATTTTCAATCACGACGTGGGCGAAAGTAAACGCAGGCGAAAAGCGAAAAATAGTGAATGTATCATGGTTATTTTAGGCAGAAATTTTTATCACCGGGATATGTTTCTTCCTTAAAAAAAAAAAAACCCTGCTATTTACGTTGACTAGAGACTGATAGACAAGTACGTTTTAAACAGCGGAAGGATATTACAACGCAAAGTAATTATTGAAGCGAATAGATGGCCACCAAATTTCGCTTTATCACGCAACTGAGCAAATTCAGCGACAATATTAAAAGAACAACATAGGAAATGGAAAGCGCTGTCGTAAAGCCTAGCTCGTATAAATATTGCGATTGTCTCTCAGCAATGCTGAGTACTCCATTGAATTAATTCTAAAACTAGTGACGAGTGAGATAATAGCTTTGGTGATCTACAATGAATGAATTAGCCCATAAGTGTGATAAATAATAGAAGCGAACAAATTTTCAACGACTTTTACCACTTTATACTGAGCGATTTCGACGTAACTTGCCGTTGGGCGGTTAATTGATACAGGGTAGGCAAATCAAATGTTTGGAAGCGGAAAAAGAGATCAGACGCCTACAACTGCGTTCAAAGCTCAAAGATTCTTTTTAAAAAGGGCGAGATGTGGCAAAATTTTTCCAAAAAAAAAAAAACGCTGACAGCATGCGGCAACAGCTTGCAGATTTCAATGTTCTATCAAGCGCGAGTGAAGCAGCAAAATTGCAATGTATACAACGGACACGCGATCATTGAAACAACGGCATTCCGAGATACAAAATAATACAAAAGTTTCACGAGAATTATTATGTATGCAGTTACCTTTCCCATTAAAAGTCTAGTTGGCTCACTTAGAGCGATAATTCCACGCAAATTTGTCTCGCCCGCGGACATTGAGAGCTTCACAAATAGACGCCGAAGAAGGTCACAGAATATAAGAAAAAATTCGAAGTATAAATGAGAACTAGTCTTACTAAAAGCAAGGGGAGTCCTTGACCAGTGTCGCTGTCGCATTATCAGTAACTCAACCTCAGACAGTCGAAAATGCTCTTAAATTGTTCAATTGACGATATCTCACCGCTGCGTTTACGAAGAATCATTGAACGGACCGCACCGCAGAGATAAATAATGTTCTCCGATTCTCAAATTATTTATGCAACACTCTCGACGAAACCCATCAAACAACAGCCGTTTTGCCTTACAAAGAAATCAGGCCGCGACACCACCAGCTGCACTATAGAACCCAATTATTAAAATTTGTGTTTGCGACGAAAATCATTGTGTAAATTATTTGAGTTAAAAACGTGCACAACTTACCAGTCGCTGGATTCACCCGTCTCAAAACAGCCCATCGAATCTTCCACTGCAACAAACAGAATATGAATGAGTACTGAAATGCACAAAGCATTATTCAAGATTTACAGCTTACCTTTTTTCCTTTCCGATACCGAACTCTACCCTCAATCAGGTCCATTTTGAGGGATTTACTGGCTGAAAGAACAGACAACCATACTAAGTTGAGGATCTGAGCGGTATGCGCACGCAGAGATCGTGCGACATTCCTTTGCGTATTGTTCGAGATCGTATTCTCCACTGGCTCTTGTGTTTGTTACAATATTTTTAGAACTTCAAAGCAAAATTTTAAGTGCTCCACCGGAACAAAGCCTCAATTTTTTCCTGTTCCGTTTCAGAAAGTTCTTTTTCGTTGACGATATGTAGCTTCATCATCCTTTTGTGTAGCAACGAATATAATTTATGTCACTACATTACCAATTTATAATACCGATAAATACCCTACATATTTTACATCCGGTGAGTTTATTTATAACACACATCCGGTTCGAACCGCATTAAATAAGAGATGTCCTGATTCTTCACTAATAGCTCGATTATCTTCTAAAAACATTTTCCATTCATGTTTTGGTGTGATCTGTTACTGGTGATATTTTAAGCTACACTTTCGCGCGAAACTGACAGTCGAAGTTTACTGACAGACGAATTAAATAATAGCGTACAATTTGAATGCGATTCCGGTAGTATAAGATTTCAACAAACTTAAGTTTGTCAGAATGAAAAAGAAAATATGTGGAAAGAAGCTGAAGTTTCTTTCGCTGTTATCGAATTTCCTCTAAGAAGAATTTTCTAATCTCTCGCGTGACAGAAAAAGTTGCGTTACCAAGTAAGTAACAACAGTCGCGCAGAAAATATGCCGTCGTCAGGAGTGGAATTTCACGGATTCTCCTCGATTGCTGATATTTCGAAACTTAGCCTTTCATTTTTAGAGAAAAATATTAGTTTCGAAACTACTGAAAAAGCATCTCTGCAAATAAAGGAATAATTTACCAGCATTTAATGTGAAAAAGATCCAAGTCATCTGATTTTACCTCGGAAGAATGTTATTAGAGTGGATATAATTGAGGAAAAAAAAAACAAAAGATAAAATAGAAGGAACGGCAACCGGATCAAATAATTTTAAACAAAATTAGTGAGTTCCTATGACAGAACATTGAAAACCTTCCAAAGCACTCCAGTCACTTCCTCTACAGCCATTTACAATCTGTTCGAGCTTGCGTAGGCGTGATTCACACCCCATAGCAGCTGCCTTACTCACTCTTAAAAGGAAATCCTTCTTTACTAAAAAGTACAAGTACACTTTTTGTTCATTGTACTCAAGGTAATTACAATATCAATACAAAGTGGGCGTTATGAGATCCACTCACGCAATCGTCGTCCACTACTCGCCTTCCTCCATGTCAATGACCCATATCTCTTTGATCTAATGGAGAAGGCAGAAAAAACTGATCGCGAGCTACGCCATGCCACATTAGTTAATTCTGATTGGGTGCCAGAACTGATTGTTAGGGCTCTTTGCCTGGCCAAAACATTCAAAAACTTTTCATATAATTAAATTTTTATTATTATTATTATTATTATTATTATTATCTTTATTATTATTGTTATTAAATTTGAGCATCATTAGCCGAGGAAAATCTATGGAGAGCAAAATTTCCTTGTCTACCAGGTCTACCATGACTATAAAATGATAAAGAAAGAAATCTGTGCAACTGAGAATTACTGAGTTCCAGTCAAGGCTGCTTGTATCTGCCTTAAATGGCCTAATCCTTTAACTCACAGAATCTGATTGTTTATTCTCCCCTCTAGCTGCTACACATTTCCTTGTAAATTAGTTGCAAGAATTTGGTGTTAGGTCAAGATAATAACTTCTATCTGATACATTTGAGTACTCTTATTACCTGTCTGCTGGATAATGGATGGATGCTGTTGGGAGAAGTTATATGTGAATCACCTGTGGGAGTTAAAGAGTTAACTCTCTAAAACAGTTTCATCCTTGACAGTGCATGGCACATTCAGGGAGAAGGTCTGCAAGGTCCAAACCCTCCACCCCCAACCCGTCAGATCTGCTGGTTTTAGTTTCATTAGTTGCCTGACACCAAAATTCTTTATGCATTAAAAAAAATTCCTTGCAATATTTCTCAGCTTACCTCAAGGCATTTGTGTAAAAATAATTATTCTGAGTTTTCTTTATCAAATTTTGACTCCACTATCAAAACTTCCTGGATCTACCACTGCTTGATCAAGACATGATCTTTGACTCCATGTCCATTTCTAGAGGTGAGATTGCCCCTGAAGATTCTCATATAATGGCCAGTTTTTTCTAGTTTCTTTTTTGGAAATCATCCGAAGTTGTGAATCTTGGACAGCCAGTTTCTTTTCCAAATCACATCTCTATCTGATCAAAATGAAATGTTTAGGAAATTTGCTGAGTGGCAAGTCCATTTGCGAATATAATATTTCAATATATTTCCTTGATTTGGCCAGCAGGAACTAAGGGTCAGATTGTGCTGGACTTTCTGGTACATATGCTATTAAATCAAATTTTTCTCGTGGCTGTCTTGATGAAGTTTACACGAGGTAATTAACACCTTTTAAAAATTCTCAGTTAATCAGTCCATGTGTGATACTATGAAAGATGTGGATGCTTTCTGCATTAACAGTTACTGACTTGTATAGATCCTGGATTTCATTAAAATAAGGATCTACATCACATTAAGTAAATGTGAGTATTGCTTCTGATAATTGAAAGGACAGAACTCTGTAGGTGCCTGAAGCTTCCTCTAGGTGATTAGTGCTCTTGTGTTAGAGAACAAACAAATTCAATGGTTCAGGTGGTAAAAATGCAAAGAACCTACACAGCATGCATCACGAGGTGTTCATCCAACAAAATGCCACTCAAAGTAGAGAACAGCCTGGGTGCAACATGGTTTAACCCCTCCTCACCCACTCCTCCCTTCAGTCCCTATACACAGGACAACCATCAGAGACATGAATAAGCTGCACACACTTGTAAATACAATCATGATGATGAATTATCATTGCACTTTTAATCAACAACCTGTAAGCTGCTCTTTAAAAATGAAAGTATCTGATACAAACCAAACAAAGATGGTTGGTTTAACCAAAGAAGGTTAAATTTTCTGAAAGAGTTTTTATTGACTAATTCATGATCTATGAGCAGATATTTAAAGGAGTGAAAAATTCTCTATTTCGAACAAAACCTTTCAGGAGCTCTCTTCTCCATAAAAGCTCAATATGCAGGTTTTGATTGAAAAACTCTTTGTCTTCACACCTGCATGGTGCAATTTGTTTTTATGTTGAGCAAAGTTGTACTTAAATATTCTAAATTTTGAAAACTAAGCATATCTGAACACTGCAATCTTAATCTAAAATTAATTTTAGACAAAATGGCTTACAATATACTTTTATGGTTTGAATCAATGATTATGAAAATTCGTAAGAATCCTTAGAAAAAAACTAGAAACGTTTTCTTCCCCAATTTCCCTCTAATTCAGCTTCTTAGGAAACTTTGTCACACATTTACACTATATTTTTTCGTTTATCGTTGTATTTTAAAAGATTCATCTGTTCTGCCATATATGGAATCACAACCTGCTACTACATCACATTACATTTGCATTGGAAACTGGCAACATGATAAACTTCAGATCTATAATTATGCAATATTTAGAATTATGAGAATATAATATTACTTACACGCACACACGTACATACACAATTTTATATCACAAGTTCTGTTCTTTTCTGAATTTATGAAACTACCCACAGGCTTTCTCGAAGCAAGTTAGAGCTAACAGATAGAAAACCTAATATGTAACGTACATAAACACGTTCAAATGTCACTGTAATTAGTCGAGAACACAACAGCACAGACATGCAGCACATAGCCCTAACAGAAAGCAGTCCGCAGCATCACTGTTGTCTTGTCTACGTCTCCCATTTTGATCATAAACGTAAACAGTTTTAGGCTGGTTTGTGTAGACATACTGTGGCTGACCATAAGGCTGTTGAAAGCCCTGCTGCGGAGGATAGCCTGGCTGTGGAGGAGGCCCGCCGTACTGTTGTTGAGGATATGGGGCTGAATATGGCGGCGGAGGATATGGAGTTCCTTGTTGATATTGTTCGAAACCAACTCCAGCGTTCGGCTGAGGAGCTGTTGGATTGTACGGCGGTGGTTGAGGTGGGTAACTCATTGCAAAAGCTGAGATAACAACTGTTTAAACACCTCGTGGAGGAATATTTCTTTCTTTATCGGTCCTTTCGAACGAATTCAACGTAGAAACAGTAGAACTATCGTGGCGTATTCGATTACAGCTAAGGTTTATATTTCCTTTTGAAGCGCTCTGATTGGAAACTTCCTCGCTCTGAGATTTCCTGTATGAAAAAATAATCGAATTTAGCGAACTAGCGATGTCGCTCTACAACACGTTGAGTAATAATTATGAAAATGATGAACGTAAGAAAGGCACAAATCAGATACTGAATGGTCACTGTTCATTGCCTCTCAATACACTGTAATTAAAAGAAGCGAGGTAATTTTTGCTGACCTACACCTTTCTAAAACAAATTGCAACTTACCTTCGTTTTAGGGTTCACCTCGACAGTCCCAGGCAATTTCAATGTGCTGATTCACGTTTGAGGACAACAACGGCGGAGTGAGTGTTCAAGAATATGCATATGTCATATTCTAATGTTAGTGCGGTGCGTGACGTAAATGACGTAAAAGAGTAAAGATCCTGAGGCTACATTGCATGAATTTCATAAAAGTTATAATAATATTAATGTACACATTTATAAAATGACATTTTCATTTAATATAAAATGATTATAAAAACAACTACATATTAAAGTTTTACCGATTGGACATGGATGGATTAAATGTGTTCGTGTAACGATTTGTGTCCATTTTTAGCAACATAAAATTGCGTTGGTTTCTAAAATTGTGTCTGCTTATGTTATTGGGTGGCAGCAAATGATGGAGTTTATGCGCAGTATCCAGATACGACTGAGTCAAAGAGTTGATTGTTCTTTGCGCCTGCCTTTCAAAGATCTGATATTATACAATTCTAAAATGACGTGATATGAAAGGCCAGGAGAAATTCAAATTACGGAAAGCGCGCTTTTCTGAATATGCTCTGGGTCTTCGCTTAAATTAGCAGACAACGCATGGTTATATAAGGGCGCACAATACTCTAACACCGGCCTAATGCAGGTAGATAGAAGCAGATGGGTTATTTTCGGGAAGAATGACTTGTTTTGTACGAGAAATACGCTCGATAAAAAAAAAAAAAAAAAAAACCACCGTATACTGGACCGATTTTTGATCAACAGGATACGAACGTTCTTTGTTTGTTAGAAACTTTCGATAGGTTCGCAGTTGCTCAGATACTGATATTGATCGATACCTCATTGTGTTGCGGTAAAATAGTGTCTTTCTCAGAGGTGAGGACTCTGGAAAGTAGCCTACAAAGGGAACGTTAGCCCACTAAGGGCTCCAGATGACGGTGATTACTGACTGAACGCACAAAAGCAACCATGAAAACTCTATTCAGCACACTCAGATCTACTCTGATATATATATCCTATTAGTATAAGTAATCACATGATTTCGAGTACAATTTGGAATAAATAAGCACGAGTAAACTTTTTCAAAGACCGACAAAATTGCACAAGCCCGTAGTCTTTGAAAAACATTTCAAGTGCTTATTTATTCCAAATTGCGCGAGAAAAGTAATTTGATTACGTATAATAATATATATGAAAAAATACGAGATCGTTTATCATAATTCTACAGAAGCAAAGCGCGCGCATCAAGTGCAAAAATAATATATTCAAATGCAAGCGACATTGTTTGTTCGGTCAAAACAACCGCGTACGATTAAAACAATAATATACAATGATATTTTCACATCTTTAAGGCGCGAAAAAGTTCAAATTCAGTCTGGTTTGTTACTTCTTTGCACTGAATTAACCCTCTTATGCATTGAATTACCTGTAAACTTCATTTATCTTAATTAATCAGAAGTGAGTAATTCTTTCATGTATCTTAACAGACGTTAGTGTAGCTAAGTATTTTTACGAGTTGTGCCGCATTTTGACGGGCCCGTAGGGCGAGTCAAAGTACAAAATACGAGTAAAAAATCCTTAGCAATACTACTCAAGAAAGCGTGTGATAAGTTATTTACTATACAACTACTTTATTTTGCACTTATTTCTCCTAAGGCGGCGAAAGCGTAGCAGATAGTGAAGCGTAACACGCGCAGCCGACCGGTTAAACAGGTTTTTTTTAGTGTGATATTTTTACTCTACTTAGCGCAGTCGGTTAATAACTCATTGTAACAACCATGCAATAATAGGTCGATTTACGTTTTAAGGCTTTGTATGGCTACATTTCATTGACACATTTCATTTGGATTATCAGTACAACTAATAAGCGTCATTTATCGATCGTGCTATATTACAATTTCCCTTCTCTGAGCATATTTCGTCTTAGAACAAATACACAAGGATATTTTCGTGCCAAATGGAGCCTTCGTGTTTTCCAGTTTAAGTGGAAATCGATTCAAGTTGCTTTGGAAATTAAGAAAAATCCGCAGGTTATCTCCCAAGCAATCAATCCAATGCATTCTCTGAATAAGACTAGAGGAGCGTAACTTATTCACTGTGCAAACGTGCCTATCTGAGAGAGCTGGTTTGGTCAACTGAAACAATCTAGGCTAAAAATTTATAATAATTATTACCACTTTCTTATTTACACCATCATTCCGTAAAAGCATCACGTATCGAAAATCCTATCTTAGGAGTATGCAGGAATTTTGTCACTATGTACCCAGCTGTTAAACGGCCGAGGTTGCCACTGATATATTGGTCACTGGTTGAGCATCGATCCATAGTACCAGTTGGAAGGTCGTAGTCCCTACTACTATGGGAAGCACTTAGAATTCATTTTTCCGAGTATGTCTGAGTCATTTACAGAAATAATCTATACCACTGAGTACTCTAAGCTTTCAGACACTGAATATTCCCTTTTACTTACAGTTTTGGGCTTCTACTTTGAATTTCGCTCTCTCGACGGACCTATAATGCAGCCTAAGAACGAAAATATCTCCGGTTTTTTTTTCAACAAAATTTCAAAATAGTTTTCGGTCGCATCGAGTCGCGCCTAAAAACGTGGTCCAATTCTTGAACTGTGAACTAGCGATGATAAAAACTGATTGAAATAGCTTTTTTCTACAACACAGTTTCTAAATTTTCAGTTTTGGTTCTAATCATCAGATGATTGCAGCGATCATTCGTCAGTTTTAGGTAGTTGAATTAAAGGCCTGATGCTACATCGATCAAAATTGAAAGAGAAAATAGGAAAAGATGAGGAAAAAGTAAACGCCCGGCTCATCTTTAAAAATGTGTCTGGTTAGAGGTTAGCCTTTCAACGGCTTTTAAAGCTGACTCATCCTAAATAATATCTTACATTTCACACGCAGTGGCGTGGTCTCGGGAGACATACACTTTTGTGATTAAAATGGAACGATATTTATAAAGGAGATGACTGGGGACGAGTTAGCCTTTGAGGTGCTCTTTGTAGAGAGGGCTTTTTCTCTGGAATTTGAGAAGGGAGGAGGCAGGGAGGGGGGAAAGAGTTAAGAACTAAGCCGTTGGAAGACCACTCAGTTCCTCGCATTAGGAGTAGGTTGAATAGTTTACATGGTACAGTTGCCTCGTTGTTTATGAAAGTGAGTCTGCTTGGCAATTTCATTTATCTCAGCCCAACACTGATCAGGCTGCTGTTAAGAGGCCGGTGGCCATTGACATTAAAGGCCACACCAGTAAATGCTCTTGAAGAAGTCGCTGACCGGAAGAATGGAGAGGTCTTATCACTGCACCAGAACGTGCAGCGTTTCCTGCAGTAGTAAAAGTGGCCTGTCACGATGAATCCAGAGTAGAAGTTTGTATTGCAGATGAGAAGCTCATAATTATATCTTGTGTCTGCCACACCTCCTGCTCTCCAAAACCCTGGAAATTGTTTTTGGTAATTTCCCACTGGTACGAGACTGGAGCCAAACTGATATGTAAAGAAGGCTTGGTCACCCTTGAGTTCGTCAACAAAAAAAAATTTCACGAAACTGCAAAATAATATTTAGGAAAAATGTTTCGTGTGTTTTCTTAATAAATTGTTAAATGACATGCAATTCATGCTGGGAAACCCGACGATAGATAAGTGAACTTGAAATTAAGTTTCATGAGTTATTTGAGGGTCAACAGTCTTGTTAATAATGTAGCATGCCCAACTTAACATTAAATGTAAGCAGTAAACGGAAACTAACAAAAGAAAATATTTTATGGTACATTTTATTGGGTACACAACCATAATCCTCGCCGGATGATGAATAATAACCGGTGACCGGGCCCTTATTGTTCGAAGAATAAAATTTATGTCAATCAGTTTTGTCTAATTCAAGATATTAGGTTTGAGTTTTTCTTTCATTTTTTTTATTGACGACTAACTTTATCAAAGACTTTATCTCACCTGAATATGATTACAGTTAGTTCTGTAGCCATTTGTTCCATATAGCCGAAGTTCGTTGTATGTCACTTCCTTTTTAGGATTAACGCTGTTATTGGTTGAGTAACACATCGTCCATCCGCCCCCAAATGACGTCATATCACAATAGACCCAGATAGAGCTGTGCCCGCCATCAGGATGTATGCGGTACATACCATTTGGAGCATGCGGTGATGCAGTTTTAATATCCCGGCAACTCTTTCCTAAAGACATAGTATCAAAGTAAGCAGCGATATTAATGTAATCTCTTTTCATTTTCATTCCCAAGACGCCCTTAAACTACACCCAGGCCTACTTACCCGTTTCGCAGTTTAACCCGGTAAATCCCTCGCTACATTCGCACTGGAAAGTTGTTGGTGTCAACGAAAGGCAGGTGGCGTTGTTTAGACATGGACTTGACGAGCAACCATTCTGTAAAGAATATCATATTTTTTATATGTAACATATTCATTTAAACTACGCACAAGCCATTTTATAACTTGGGCGGGTAACGAAGCCTTGATGGGCGTGTTCTCGCCTCGATGCGCTGCTCTGCCACTCATAATCTCTGGAGAAGTGCTTGTAGGTCCTCAAATTGTATTAAGAGTTTACAGAACTACCTGCTTTAAAGCTCAATATATGTTGGATTATGAATGAAAGAAGGTCCTATTCATGTGAACATAAATATTTTTCACTTTTTTAGGACAGTGAGCGATTCTTCTTCTATTTCTTGACACGTAAGGTTTGGCAGCGAAGTACAAAACAGCAATTTTTCAAACGATCTTCATAATACAAGCCATTTTCATATTATTCTACCTTTGGAGATTCCCTTTTAGTATGGCTTCCCCGTTTTTTCCAAGCCAAACGGTTATTTGGGACAGTTAATGCTGTACCAACTCTCGTGGTTATAAAGTAAACAAAAAATGTATATAGAGGGTGCAATCATTAAGAGTTGTTCATATGACTGGAAAGAGTTTCACCCAATGACAATATATTTATTCTGTGCCATCTCTCTCCTTCTCTCTCTCTCTCCCTCTCTCTCTCTCTCCTTCTCTCTCTCTCTCTCTCCCTCTCTCTCTCTCTTTCTCTCTCTCTCTCCTTCTCTCTCTCTCTCCTTCTCTCTCTCTCTCCTTCTCTCTCTCTCTCCCTCTCTTTCGCGCCAAATATCCCAAGGCGATCGAAGCTGACAGTTTTATGGTTCTAGCGTAAAATTTTACAGATCATAGTGTAGTGACTAAAATCGATACGATTTCAAAACAAAATAGAAAGTAGTAAGTTTAGTTGGTAGTAAGCTTATACCCTATTCACGCCAGCAAAACATGTTTGGTTAAACTGATTTTTACTGAATGAAAATCATAAAGAGAGAACTGGAAAAACTTATTTTTCTATAGGATTCAAGTACTTGCTAACTTGCATTTCCAATGTGCTATATTTTAAGTAGAAAAAGATTAGGTTAAGTTGTTTCCACTAGGAAAAAAAATTAAAGCCTGTTTAACAAAACAACTTTAAAACATGTTCAAGCTTTGGTGTGAGTAGGGTATTAGTCTCTAACTAATGATGAGAAGTGAAAGAGACGTCCTAAATTGATAATGGTTCTCTCTCAGCCACAGAGGATGGGTCAGCGGAAAGGCGAAACACCTGGTGACGTGACAGATATCAAAGAGGTTAAAAATAGAGAGTCTACAGCGACCTCTGTACCTTAGTCCCTATGTACGTGTAACCTGGCATGAGGACCAAATCCCGAGGGTGTTGGACGTGATCTGAATCACTGAGCTCACATTCGTGTCCATAAGCCATGTGAGGTCCCACATTATAAGAGAGGCACTTAGGTTCTATGTAACATCGAAGCTGGCACTCGTCATTGTCGTTTACAAGCACGCTGATGATCACGTGACCAATAAGGGATTTATTGATGAGGGGAAGTTGGTACCGAGCTTGTCTGCAGACATCTGCAAATGAATAGGAAAGACACCGTTGCGTCACGAGTAGACTGGCGACGTAAGAAGAAGGGCCACCGACGATCGAGGACTATCCACATGATACACACACATACAAAAAAATTAAATCTGAGAAATTTCATGCTCAACGGTGTAGGAAGTATACTTTGTATAGTGACAATTTAATTGGCTATTCGTCGATAGATCTGAAATTACAATTTACCCTCTTTCTCTGTTTGTTTGAGCGCAAGCCTCTTTCAACATCACTGAACGTAGTAAAGTGAGCACAGCACTTGACAAACGTGAGCCTGAAAGGGCTAACTCGCCAACAAGTTTAAAACATGGACTCTAAAGCGAAATCTGGACAGGTGCGACCGAGTTCGGATCTTTATGGAATTCGGTAGCTTTCCCCTTTTCTCATTTTTTACACACTCAAGCAAATGACATCTTTCTATATTTCCATGGTCTTGCCTCTGCTTCCGGGCTGCGGTTTAGGGTCGGAAGCTTTTTAGTAAACACTGAAGAATATCTCCATTGTTTTTTTCTAATTTGAACTAAAATATTTCTTCTTGAGCTGCATATATAGTTACTTTTCCCATTTCTATAGAGCTGGCGACATCATTTCATAAATAATTAATTGAAAAAAAGCAATTAAACGGAGAAGTTCACATTAGTCGGAAACTGTTTTCACTTGTCTCACTGTGAGCCTTTCAAACTTCAATATCAAAATTACATTGTTGTTTTTTTTAAGGTTTTCTTTAATTAAACAGTTTTATATGATATTCAGCTTGGAACATTTTATAACTCTCACAAATCAAAGAAAAAAGCAAACCAAAATGAGATTTCATGGCAAAAGTAAAAATGAAAGTTAATCAAAACTGAACGAAACAAATTATCGCAATAATTTTTAAGTAAATTTATTTTCCAACGAAGAAAAAAAACTGCTAAAGAAGAAAACATCTGTACAAGACGAAATCCTCGAGGGTAAAGCGCAGAAACTAGCACACTCTAATTTTTAATTCGACCAGAAGACAGAGCACAGTTTGCTTTTACTAAGTCAAATTCTCCCTTTCTATGTAGAATGATGCTTATGGATAAATAAAAAAGGCCTCACTTCGTGTAGTTAGGAAAACCTTAAAGCTTTTTAGGTATCAACAATGGAATTCCTTAACTTACCGTTTCCTTGAACTGTGTGAAGATATAACGTGAGCGAGATCTTTAGGATAAGAAAGGAAACGAAGAGGTCGAACATCATGACTATCAAGGTAAGAAGCCGAAGCGCTATGTGGGCCAAGAAATCTGACTTGAACGCTGACAGGTGTATTTTGAGATATCATGACTAAATTCTGGCTTATTTACGCCAGTAAGTCACGCCAGGGGGGCCGTTTCTCTAAAGTCCCGTTAACTTTCGCGCGCGCAATAATATTTTTAATATTTTAAAATTCATGTTTATTATTCTGATGTTTTCAATATTTTTTAATCCTAAAGAAATATGGTGCAGGATGAAGCTCAGAAACCAGCTCATTTTAGTTCGTATGCTGATATTTTATTGACTTTGACCAATGTAAGTGGTACTTAGAATTCGCGCGGCCAAGCGAGGACTACGCAAAACCACCATTCCAGAGCCTCGTGCAAACATCACAAACAAATGTTCGCTGCAAATGTCACGACAATACAAAAAGGATCGTGATAATTGCATAAGGACATAAATATTCAATATTTAATGTGGTGGATGATATTAGGAGAAAGCCGTTTCAAATCAAATCAAAATAAATATTATTTGGTTAAGTTTAGATTTGAGTCACGTTTGCAGATAGCCTTTTTCGAAGATTTCCGGCAAAGCTGGTTATGACTTTCGTAGAATCTCTTTAGTGTGCCTTCTTCAAGATGAGTAAAATTATTTGTCTCAAAAAAAAAATTGTGTTAGCGACGTTTTTCATCGCAACGACATAACAAGACATAAGGCTGCCTCGCTTTGGAGTGTTAAGCTGGTCTCTCATTGGATCGTTTAGCTGTCAGGCTTTCCCAACTCTTCCTTAACTTGGCAGCATAGTATCATCTCTAAAACATGTTTCTCGCCATAGCTTTATCACATTACCTTATGTTCGCAGTTCATTTCGTGGTTGTCGGAGGTAGCGGTAAGTCTCTCAAATGAAATAAAGTTAGAGAGCATAATACGAAAAAGGAAAAAAGGAAACGTTCATACTTTACCTTGTCTCCAAGGTTGAAACCTAAGAAAGTTGTTTTCCCTCAAAGCATCATTTTCTCGTTCGTAGTTCTGCTTACGGTTTAGTTATTCATCTCGAGGGTAGCGATAAGCAGTCTTGAGTGATGGTAGAGACGGGAAGTTGTTCTCACGATGAGAGTTTAGTCAAACACACCAGGTGTTTCAGATCTCCTACTTACGAAAATTTGCGCGAAAATTCAAGCACTAAAAATTCAACAAGCGTAAAAATATTTCGGAAGACTATCGACAACATTTTATCACTTGTAAATACTTCAGCTGATAGGAAGGATTTTCCGCTGTTTTACTCCACTAATATCGCAACACTAAGAAGGGACTTAGTACAATGTTTGAAGATAACGATGCTTTACATATCGAGGACTGATACATAACTAATCATTACTAATTCATGGTAATACAAAATGCTGTTGAATTCTTAGTTGTGTTTACGACTAAGAGACCGGAATAGTTTTACAGCTCGAATTATGAGCCTGAGCTATTAATTTTCCCATAATGACTTTCCACGTTTAAATATTATGGCTAACACTTATTGCTAACAACGATAAACGCAATCATTAAGGCTAAATATACTCACAAAAACTTTAAATTTCGAGATATGAAACATGTATATGTCACAATTTTACTCCTTTGGCAGAAACTGAGATAATTAATTAACGCATTTGGAAATATTCGACAAACTTTATTATTACCCTTACCACTTATCTTACCAGTTCTGCTACATGAAAAAAGAAATCTGATGTGGCACTTTCTTTCAGGCAAGAACTGGGCTCACAGGAGAAGTATGTGGTGGAAATGATTGGGGTGAAATTTCTTGCGCGGTAGAAATGAATGTAAACCTTTACATATAATCGATTAGGTGTGCTCACCGGCATATTTGAGTTAAGGAACTTTGATTATATGAAAATCATATAGCTAAACTACAGATAAAGACGTGAATATGAAAGCGATCTTCGCATGAACGAATACTACTTGAGCAGTAATGAAACTAAGACCTGAAAAAAAACATTCAGGCCTGAATAATGGATTTATTCATTACCTCGCGGGTTTATTTGGAACCAGTATAGTGACCAGCTCTCGGTTGGCTTGTTGAATCAGGTCATGGTTTCAAATCCCGTACAGGCCTGAATTTTTTTTTTCAGAAAAAAAAAACCTACAGCAGTTCACTAAACTAGTTTTTGTGCGCTTAAGGTTTCGCAATTTTTTGTTGTTGTTGTTTTTGACAAAGGCAAACCGAAAGAAAAACCAATTAAGTTGAGTTTGAAAAACAAATGTTTGCGTGAAATACATATATCGGCAAAAGTGATTTATGATTCATGCTAATTAGGGGTCTCTCGAAACATCTCCTGGTCAGGTGTAGGATGAAGTATGATAATTTGCGGTCAAAAACACACAAACTCAAATGTTTCCTTTGATGTGCTGTAAGGATATTCAACTCAAAATGAGAGATTATTTCGGATCGTTACAAGACGATAGGAAGAAAGTGGACGGTGGTTTTTGAATGTTGCTGCCGGCACTCATCACAAGGAAGCGTTGTGAATGAAAAAGTAATTAAAAGATTAATTTGTTGCGTTATGGTAGAAAAGTTGCAAGGATAGCGTAAATATGTCTCTTTCAGACCTGAGAGTTCCCCTAAAGTTGCTGTTTTTGAAGAAATGTGCTTGCATCTTCCCACTTTTTATACATTTGACTTTTTAAGTAATTCATCCTCATAAAGTGTTGTTCGGCTTTAAACAAATGATTTTGAAAAGTTTTCGCAAAGATTACGGGGAAGCCTGCAAGCAGGCATCAGTTGTTAATTTTCGTCTTACGGCCCCTCTCCGGGCACTGCATCCTATTACACCATCGGCAGACGCCTATTGAAAACCTCTGCAAACCATATTTGAAAAAAATCTCATGATACTTCTTGTTTTATTTACAGATGTCTGCAGACAAGTACATTTCTTACAAGGCATTCCTGATAAAGCCCTTATTGGTCACATCATCAAAACGATACCAGTGGAGACAGATGACCATTGTGAGATTGCTTGTTACCGCGACCTCATGTGTCTCTCCTATAACATAGGACCCAAACAGGCTCATGGACATCAATGTGAGCTCAGCAAATCGGATCACATCCAAGACCCTGCTGATTTAGTTCCTATGGCAGGGTATATATACAGACCAACTGAGGTACACAATGTAATGGGCCATTTCTGAGTTTCAAAAAGGCCTCTTTCTCAGAATGAGGCCAAATTAGTAAAGCTTTTGTCGTGAGAATGAAGGTTATTTACATTAGGAGAGAATATGATTTCCGCCCAAAAGTGTCGCACAATAATAGCCTCGTTTCAAAGTAATGTTAGAGAGAGGGAGAATGGAGACTAATGTTCCCTGAACATCTAACTTTAATTCATCTAAAATAATTATGCCGTATAGCTGACTTAAAAAAGAAATTGCATAGGGTTTTACCAAATTCAGGGAACAAATTTATCCTCTTTGGCAAGATTTTAGTCAGCAGCTGTCGTTGACAAGTTTTCGAAATCTTTGCTGAGGTATTTAAAAAAATGTTTCTTTTCGCCTTTTGGGATTAAATGCGACATACTGTAATTCTTTGTATCGGGCGCACTAATTTAACTCTTTTGCCAGGAACTACGCCGTTTTTTAAATCTCCAAAGTTTTGCCCAGTTCATTTTTAAGTTTTGGCAACTGTTCATGATTTCTCTGCCAGAATAACGTGACCAATATTTCATTTATTTCTTGGTTAGAGTCGTTGTTCGTCAACTCCCTGCCCTGATAACGCCACATGTGTTTCCCTCACGGAGACAATTTTCCAGTGTCTGTGTCCACCAGGATTTACCGGTGACAGCTGTGAAACGGGTATGTTAAGCAAACCAAGCAATGTTGTGTCACCTCATAAATTAAGACGCGATTGTTTTTAGTTTTGCATCTGATTGCATGAATTGATTGAGAGGATAGAGCGAGTATTCCTAACCAATCACAGAGCGAGGTAAAGCAAATCCAAAACAGTTTAGGATCACTTTCGATGCTTGATCTAACTGACCTCCCTGAGCTGATTTTCCCCGTCACTCATTTGAAAGTCGCTCTTTGTTACAGACATAGACGAGTGTGAAACCAACCAGTTCAACTGCCCGGTGAACGAGGAGTGCGTTAACACCGCGGGCTCGTATGTGTGCAATTGTGTCAGCGGTGTATTCGATGGCGTAGGAGTCTGCCAGCTTTTGACAGGTAAGCTAATGGGAAACGTCCGCGAGAAAGTATGATGCCCTAAGCAACGCGAGCCGGCGGGAGGTCTGTAAGGGACTTCATTTTATACGCAATAGAAGCTACAACCTGAGCTACTTTGAGAACAAACTTAATGTTCGAATACCACCAACAAATTCATTCAAAAATAGTTTTAGTTGTAGTGGCGCCACATTGTGGAATAGCCTCCCTTGCGAGGCTGGATGCGCGGAATCCCTCGAGTCGTTCAAACGAGAAATCAATAAAGCTCTCTAATGCTCGGTGATATAGTGTAATTAGTATAATTAATAGTTAACAGCTTTTAATCCTTTGTAAATAGCTGGTGAATTGCCCGTGATTACATAAATTTTAATGCAAATAATAACACTGATAATGTCAGACCTCCGGGCTAACCTCATCCCGACTCGTCTCAAATCTTCCCATGGGCGGGGAAAAGCGTGTCCTATATCGCTAATAACGAGGCCTGGTATCTAACTTTTTTTTTTCTCTCTCTCTCTTTGAAAGGAACAGATTGCAAGGAGATCAAGACCACATTCCCGAGTGCTCCAGATGGGATGTACGAAATACAACCGAACATCGGAAACAGCAAATTCTGGGCGTATTGTGATATGACGTCATTTGGAGGAGGATGGACGATGTGTTACTCTACTGACGATCTTGCTGACCCTAAAACAGAAGTGACCTATGACGAGAATTATCCCTATGGTACAAATGGTTACCGAACTGACTGCAATGAAGTTCAGGTGATTAAGAGAGGTTAAGATGTCGTGCGATGTTAAATTTTGCAAGAGTTTTACTTTGAGGATTAGCGATGTTTTGCAAATCCTGGCTTATGTGTTGTCATATTTCAGGCGCCATAACGAGTAATCAGCCTGATAAATAGTTTACAAACACTCACTTGACTTGATGTTATTCTTAAGAGGTTCTAAATCTTTTTTTTTTCTAGAAATATTTCGTCTTTTCAATTTTTTAAATTTATTTATGCTAAACTTAGGGTTTGGACCTACTCTGTACTTACACTCTATACTTATTGGTGAGTCTAATGAGGACTCATAGTGATCCCCGCTGAAATGCCAAATTTACTCCAGGAATGTCAGTACCTTCTGTATTGTGCTTCATATTGTCTATCACTCATAATTTGAACACGAGTCACTGTTTCCAAAATTTGATGACCACATTTTCAAAATGAGAACCTGTTCTTTTTTGGAATGCTGAACTATTTCTTGTTTGAATGGTGCCTTTTTCATCAAATTTCAGTCTGAAGATTCTTAATCTACTTGTTCTTGTTCTCTTAACCAACACAGCCACTGTTTTTTGTTTTTTTTCTTTTGTTGGTTTTTTGCTTGCAGTTTCGTGAAATTCTCTTTGTGGACGAGACTACGAATGAAAAGGCTTTCTTTACCTATAAACTTAGTTCCAGCCTCGTCGCAAAGGGAAATTACCAGACACAAATCTCCGGCCTGTGGCTCGGTGGAGGTGTAGCTACCACAAGTCATGAGTACCAGCTTCTTATTTGTGACCACAGCTTCTACTCTGGCTTTTTCATATCCGGTTATACAAACTGTTATAAGAGGTGCAATCATTGGTGTGGTGATCTGCTCACTCCTTACTTCCGATCAGCGTCCACTAGTCCAAATTATGCCGGAGTCGCCTTTAACGTCAATGGACATAGGCCGCGAAGCATCAGACTGATGAGTGTTGGACTGAGATAAATTATGGCTGAAAGAGTTTTTGTGGCGTACAATATGGTGATTTACCTTCAGTAAGTGAGTCAGTCAGTTAGACAGTCAACCATTCACTCAGTCAAGAAGTCAGTCAGTTGATCGTTGGTGAGTCAGTCAATCTGTCGGTCAGTTGGCTGATTATAGCCGAATGTTTTCATCTGCTACTTTAGAAATATTCGTTCGTGGCAGCTTTCAAACGTAAGATAAGATAACGATAAGATTTCGAACGTTTCGGTGTTAAAAACTCTCAGCCCACATGTTTTTCGGCCTTTTATAACCTTCTTCTGGTTATCACTCTGAAAAAAGATATCATAATACGTACATGTTAACGTCTGATTTGCAAGCCTCGCTTTCAGATTGTAGATTGTTGAGTTTAAATCGAAAAGTATTCCCATAACGCTGAAATCAAACAATATACTCATGAAAACTACACGAAAGTGGCAAAGATTTATGTATATGTCCGTGCGAACTATACTTTAGATAAATTTTTTGGTAAATGACTTCTATTTGTCTACAAGCTGTTAATGTTAATGATGATAGAAAGTTACCCATCGAGCTTTGCGCTCCTCCGCTTCTTCACGGCGAGCGTCACTCAAGACGGCTGGGAACGGACCAGGTGCGATCTTGAATAGAGAAAAAGACTATAATGATAAAAAAATTAAAACAAAAACTAAAACTGAAGACCCAGGATAAAAAGTATTTTTGCTGCTGTGCAAATGAAGCTGCTTTTACAGTCAGAAAAATAGCTCAGTTGAGTTGTCCAGCCAATAAAATAAAATATTGAAGAAGTAAATAAATAATCCACGTAGGCGAGCTGCTATTAAAAAGAATTAAGTAAAAAATTATGTTTCGAAGGGATTCGCACCAGTGCCTTTTAGATGTTAGTAATACCAATTCACCTGTGTAGCTTCATTTTGGGAGCGTAATTTTTTTCAAGCCTCTTTAGCCGTTTTTTCTTTTGATGAAGCTCGCCTCTGTTTATTATTTCGTTTCTTGTGTATCACTGAAGATCAACGTATTATTGGCGACGAAATTCTTATACTATATTTCACATACGTACAGTAATGTCCATAATAATTCCCCATACATGACGTACTTACGATTATTTGGCGACCAAACCGCTAACAAAGAGCCAAAATGACCCATGGCTCGAGATTGACGTCAGCTTGATTTTGTAATTAAGTTAAGACTTATTCATTCAGCAGGGTTGAAGATTGTAAATAAAGAAGTTGTGCCGTCTTTGTTTGTTTGTTTTTTCCATATGATTGTTTCAGGGAAAGTCTAAACATATAACAAAGCAGCTAAGGTATTGTCCCTCGGGAAAACTAGTTAGTTTTGTTTTCCTTTGGGTCCTGCTGTTTCCCTCGACTTTGTCTCGGGAAACATCACGACTCTCGAGAAAACAAAACTGTTTACCTCGGAGCCATATATTAAGTGTATATTGTTTTCCTTTCTATTCATTAAATTAAGTTCGCGTTTTTGCGTGAGGTTATGTAAGGTTGACGTAACACCGGTAGCCAGTATAAGCTAAATTTTTCATTCCCATTCCCTCAGTCGTTTCGTTGGTTTTTGCTAACGCCGTGGTACTTTTTTCGGAGAGATTTTCCTATCGGACCTAGTTACGCCATGAATTGTAAGTTCATATATTTTGCATGTAGCTTTGTTTTTACTCTTGTTGTTATTCATGACGTTATCATATTTGTACTTAGATATTTGTATTAATTATTTATTTTCAGTCGAATCAAGTTTACACGTTTATACATTTATACATCGTCCATCTTTATATTTCTCTAGTGTTTAGCTATAACGATAGTTTCCATAGTAACGTCATATCAAGACATAAGATTGCCTCGCTTTGGAGTGTTTAACTGGCCTCGCATTGGATCGTTTAGCTGTCAGGTTTTCCCAACTCTTCTTTCAATCTAAATTGGAAACTTGACAGCAAAGTACCATCTCAACATCATGTCTCTCGCCTTCGCTTTATTACATCACATTATGTTCGCAGTGCATTTCGTGGTTGTCGGAGGTAGCGGTAAGTCTCTCAAATTAATCAATTAAAGTTAGAGAGCATAATATGAAAAAGGAAAAAAGGAAACGTTCATACTTTACCTTGTCACCAAGGTTGAAACCTTAGAAAGTTCTTTCCCCTCAAAGCATCATTTTCTCGTTCGCAGTTCTGCTTACGTTTTAGTTATCCATCTCGAGGGTAGCGATAAGCAGTCTTGAGTAATGGTAGAAACGGAAAGTTGTTCTCTCGATGAGAGTTTAGTCAGGTGTTTCAGATCGATCTCCTGCTAACTATAATTTGCACGAAGATTTAAGCACTAAAAATAAAACATAAGTAAAAATATTTCGAAAGACTATCGACAACATTTTATCACTTGTAAGTACTTCAGCTGATAGAAGGATTTTCCGTTGTTTTAGCAGGGACTTGGAAACATGTTTGAAGATAAAGATATTTTATATATCGAGGACTGATAATTTACTTTTCATTACTAATTCATGGTAAATGCTGTCAAATTATTAATTGTGTTTACGACCAAGAGACCGGAATAGGTGTACAGCTCGCACTATGAGCCTGAGCTATTAATTTTCTCGTAATGACTTTCCATGTTGAAATATTATTGCTAACACTTAGTACTAACAATAAGAAAAGAAAAGCGCTAACGTAAACGTGTTTCTTTCAGTGCTGAGAGTTCCCCCAAAGTTGTTGTTTTAGAAAAATGCGCTTGCATCTTCTCCTTTTCATACATTTGATTTTATAAATAATTTATTCTTGATAAAGTGTTGTTCAACTTTGAACAAATGATTTTGAAAAGTTGTCGCAAAGATGGTGGGAAAAATTAAGCTTAGCTCAGTGACTTGAGTTTAATATACAGTGGTAGACGACAACGTTTTCTCGCTCATATTGATATAACCATTTACTCTTACCTGATAAACTAATAATTTCAGACGCAATCGTTTATAAAAAGCCGCTACCGATGTTCTACTGCCGCCATTACGAACCCTTACCGCAGTCTGTTTAACCTACAACCAGGCATTCATATTTGAGTTTCGCCTTACGGCCCTCTCCGGGCACACCAACGGCAGGCACCTGTGGAAAATATTATTGAAAACCCCCGCAAACCATATTTGAAAAAAAATATTTCATTACTTCTTGTTTTATTTCAAGATGTCTGCCGACACGTGCATTTCTTACAAGGCATTCCTGATAAAGCCCTTATTGGTCACGTGATCAAAACGATACCAGTGGAGACAGATGACCATTGTGAGATTGCTTGTTACCGCGACCTCATGTGTCTCTCCTATAACATAGCACCCAAACAGGCTCATGGACATCAATGTGAGCTCAGCAAATCGGATCACATCCGAGACCCTGCTGATTTAGTTCCTATGGCAGGGTACATGTACAGACCAACTGAGGTATACAATGTAATGGGCCATTTCTGAGTTCCAAAACACCTTACCCTCAGAATGATACTAAATTAGCAAAGCTTTTGTCGTGAGAATGAAGTTTATTTACATTAGGAGAAAATATGATTTCCGCTTAAATGTTTCGAACGATAATAGCCTCGTTTCAGAACAATGTTGGAGAGTAGGAGAATGGAGACTAATGTTGACTGAAAATCTAACTTTACAACTTCAATTTTGAAAATGAAGTCTCATCAGTTTTAATTTATGTAAAATAAATATGCCGTGTAGCTACCTTAAAAAAACGAAATTGCATAGGGTTTTTACTAAATTCAGGGAACAAATTTATCCCCTTTGGCAAGATTCTAGTCAGTTAGCAGGTGTCATCGATAAGTTTGCGAAATCTTTGCTGATGTATTTAACAAACAATATATATCTTTTTGGTCTTTTGGGATTAAATGCGACATACTGTAATTTCTCTGTATCGGGCACACTCAGTTAACACTTATTTTTTCCCGGAATTACGCCGTTATTTGACTCTCCAAAGTTTTGCCCACTTCATTTTCAAGTTTTGGCGACTGTTCATGATTTCCCTGCCAGAATAACGGGACCAATTTTTCATTTATTTCTTGGTTAGAGTCGTTGTTCGTCAAGTCCTTGCCCTGATAACGCCACATGTGTTTCCCTCACGGAGACAACTTTCCAGTGTCTGTGTCCACCAGGATTTACCGGGAACAGCTGTGAAACGGGTATGTTAAGCAAACCAAGCAATTTAATGTCACCTCGTGAATTAAGACGCGATTGTTTTTAGTTTTGCATTTGATTGTATGAATTGATTGAGAGGATAGAGCAAGAATTCATGACCAATCAACGAGGTAAAGAAAATTCAAAGCAACTCAGGATCACTTTCGATGCTTGACCTAACTGACCTCCCTGAGCTGATTGTCCCCGTCACTCATTTGAAAGTCGCTCTTTGCTGCAGACATAGACGAGTGTGAAACTAACCAGTTCAACTGCCCGGTGAACGGGGAGTGCGTTAACACTGCGGGCTCATATGTATGCAGTTGTGTCAGCGGTATGATCGATGGCGTAGGAGTCTGCCAGCTTATGACAGGTAAGCTAGTGGGAAACGTCGGCGAGATAGTATGATGCCTTAAGCAACGCGAGCCGGCGGGAGGTCTGTAAGGGACTTCATTTTTAACGTAATACAAGCTACAACCTGAGGGACTCCGAGAAGAAACTTGCCACTAACGAATTCATTTTAAAAAAGTTTTAGTTATAAAGGCCCCACGTCATGGAATAGCCATCCTTGCGAGGCTGGGTGTGCGGAATCCCTCGGGTCGTTCAAACGAGAAATCAATAAAGCTCTCTAATGCTCGGTGATATATTGTAATTAGTACAATTAATAGTTAACAGCTTTTAATCCTTTGTAAATAGCTGGTAGATTGCCCGTGATTACATAAATTTTAATGACAATAATAACACTGATAATGTCAGACCTCCGGCTAACTTCATCCCGACTCGTTTCAAATCTTCCCATGGGCGGAGAAAAGCGTGTCCTATATCGCTAATAACGAGGCCTGGTATCTAACTTTTTTTTTTCTCTCTCTCTCTTTGAAAGGAACAGATTGCAAGGAGATCAAGACCACATTCCCGAGTGCTCCAGATGGGATGTACGAAATACAACCGAACATCGGGAACAGCAAATTCTGGGCGTATTGTGATATGACGTCATTTGGAGGAGGATGGACGATGTGTTACTCTACTGACGATCTTGCTGACCCTAAATCAGAAGTGACCTATGACGAGAATTATCCCTATGGCACAGATGGTTACCGAACTGACTGCAATAATGTTCAGGTGATTAAGAGAAGGTTGAGGTGCAAGAGTTTAATTTTGAGGAATAACGATGTTTGGCAAATCCTGGCATATGTGTTTGTCATATTTCAGGCGCCATAATGAGTAATCAGCCTGATAAATAGCTTATAAACACTCTCTTGCCCTGATTTTACTTTATCCTGATGTTATAATTTTCTGGAAATATTTTATATTTTCACTGGGTGTTTTATCGTTTTTATTCTATATTCAGGTTTTAACCCACTCTGTATCCTACTGTAGATGAGGACTGTCAGTGATCCCCGCTGGAATGCCAAATTTACTACAAGAATTTCAGTACCCTCTGTACTGTGCTTCATTTGGTCTGGCAATCATAATTTGAACATGTGTCACTGTTTCTTAAATTTGATGACCACATTTTCAAAATTAGAGACCGTTTTTTTTTGGAATGCTAAACTATTTCTTATCACCAGAATGGTGCTTTTTTCATCAAGTTTCAGTCCGAAGATTCTTAATCTATTTGTTCTTGCTCTCTTAACCTAGTCATCTTATTCGACACGACAGTCTTTTCCTGTCTGTTTTTTCTTTTTTTTTGCTTGCAGTTTCGGGAAATTCTCTTTGTGGATGAGACCATGAATGAAAAGGCTTTCTTTACCTATAAACTTCATTCCAGTCTCGTCGCAGAGGGAAATTACCAGACACAAATCTCCGGCCTGTGGCTAGGTGGAGGTGTAGCTACCACAAGTCATGAGTACCAGCTTCTTATCTGTGACCACAGCTTCTACTCTGGCTTTTTCATATCCGGTTATACAAACTGTTATAAGAGGTGCAATAGTTGGTGTGATGATACACACACCCCTTACTTCCGGTCAGCGTCCACTCATTCAGGTTATGCTGGAGTCGCCTTTAACGTCAATGGACATCGGCCGCGAAGCAGCAGACTGATTAGTGTTGGACTGAGATAAATTATGGCTTAAAGAGTTTTTGTGGCGTACAATATGGTGTTATACCTTCAGTAAGTCAGTCAGTCAGTTGATCGTTGGTCAGTCAGTCAGTCAGTCGGTCTGTCGATCAGTTGATCGATTATAGCCGAATGTTGTTATCTGCTACTTTCAAAATATTCATTTGTGGCAGCTTTCAAACGCAAAATGATGATGATTTAGACGTATCAGTGTTAAAAACTCTCAAACCACATGTCTTTTGGCCATCTATAGCCGTCTTCTGGTGGTCACTCTAAAAAAGGACGGATATCATAATACGTGCATGTTTACGTCAAGTTTTGTTCCTTGGCCTCCAAGCCTCCCTTTCAGTTTGTAGACTGTTGAGTTTGAATTGAAAAATATTCCCGTAAGTCTGAAATCAAAGAATAAACTTATAAAAACAGCAAGAAAGTGATAAAGACTTGTGTACATTTTTGTGCAAACGATGTTTAGGGTAAATATTTCGGTAAATGATTTCTATTTGTATACGAGCGATTGATGATGGTGATAGAAAGGTACCCATCGTGCTTTGTGCTCCCCAACTTCTTCATGGCGAGCGTCACTCAAGATGGCTGGGAATGGGCCAGGTGCACTCTTCAATAGAGAAAAAGACCCAAGTAATAATAAGGAAAAAAAATAAAAGCAAAAATGAAAAATGTGAAAAGCACTGTTTGTGGTTGTGCAAATAAAGCTGCTTTTTAAGTCATAAAAACAGGTTAGTTCAGTTGACAGGCAGACAGAATAAAAAATTAAAGAAGTAAAGAAATGATCCCCGTAGGCAAACTGCTATGAATAAAAAAACAATTTAAAAATTATTTCAGAAAATTACGTTTGGACGGGATTCGCACCAGTGCCTTTCAGATGTTAGTACTACCAATTCATCTGTATAGCTTCATGTTGAGAGCGTAAAATTTTTCAAGCTTCTTTAACGTTTTTTTCTTTTATCGAAGCTCGCCTCTGTACATTATTTCTTTTCTTGTGTATCATTGTGTATCATTGACGACATCTGTGCATGGCAAATTAATTTGTAATTACTTCTACAATCATTCTTGTTCATGTAAATCATTGTGGTTGTGGTTCCCCAGTCAACCGTCAAACGATCCGTGAAACAGCTCGTTGTTTACCTATCATCATATTTGTCCAGTGGAGACAACATGGTTACCTTTTTTTCTCTCAATAATGTTCGTAAGCTTTTTGTAACGTTGGTAGCCTGTATAAGCGTTGTTTTTGCTAGATTTTTCATTCGCTAGTTGACCTCAACTAGGGCGGTCGTTCCGTTGGTTTTTGCTAGCGCCGTGGTACTTTTTTCGGAGAGTTTTTCCTATCGGACTTGGTTATGCCACAAATTCTAAGTTCATTTATTTTTCATGTAGCTTTGTTTTTACTCTTGTCGTTATTCTTGACGTTATCATATTTGTACTTTGATATTTGTATTGATTATTAATTTTCAGTCGAATCACGTCTACACGTTTATACATTTGCACATCTTCCATCTTTACATTTGTCTATCTGGGAGTTATTAAACGCGCATTCAAGTTTGGCGTAAACCTGTAGTATTTAGCAGTAGCGACGGTTTCCATAGTAACGTCTTAACAAGACATATGGTTGCCTCGCTTTGGAGTGTTAAGCTGGCCTCGCATTGGATCATTAAGCTATCGGGTTTTCCCAACTCTTCTTTAAATCTAAACTGGAAACTTGACAGCAAAGTACCATCTCAACAACATGTCTCTCGCCTTCGCTTTATTACATCACATTATGTTCGCAGTTCATTTCGTGATTGTCGGAGGTGTCGGTAAGTCTCTCAAATTAATCAATTAAAGTTAGAGAGCATAATATGAAAAAGAAAAAAAAACATTCATACTTTACCTTGTCTCCAAGGTTGAAACCTAAGAAAGTTCTTTCCCCTCAAAGTATCATTTTCTCGTTCGCAGTTCTGCTTACGTTTTAGTTATCCATCTCGAGGGTAGCGATAAGCAGTCTTAAGTAATGGCAGAGACGGAAAGTTGTTCTCTCGATGAGAGTTTTGTCAGAAACATCAGGTGTTTCAGATCGATCTCCTGCTAACTATAATTTGCACGAAGATTTAAGCACTGAAAATAAAACATAAGTAAAAATATTTCAGAAGACTATCAGCAACATTTTATCACTTGTAAGTACTTCAGCTGATAGAAGGATTTTCCGTTGTTTTATTCCAATAATCTCGCAACACTTAGCGGGGACTTGGAAAGATGTTTGAAGATAAAAATACTTTATATATCGAGGACTGATAATTTACTTTTCATTACTAATTCATGATAAATGCTGTCGAAATATTAGTTGTGTTTACGACCAAGAGACCGGAATAGGTACAGCTCGTATTATGAGCCAGAACTATTAATTTTCCTGCTATGACTTTCCATGTTAAAATGTTAAGACTAACACTCAGTACCAACAATAATAAACGCAGTAACTAAGTCTATACTCGCTTTATTTGCTTCCTGATATAATAATGCATAAAAAAGCTAATGGAAATTTGCAACTTTTTCGATTCTCAACTAAACTCAGACGTCGCCGGACTTCGGAGGGGTAAGTGGTAAAATGAAGGTGGAAATAGTTATAGAATGAAAATTTTTAATCTCGAGATCTGAAACGGATATATATATCATGATTATCAAAACTTGTACAACTTTAGTAGCAACTGAGACAATTCATTTCCTTCGGAAATATTCGATAACCTTTATCATTAACCCTTACCGCTTAGTTCTGCTGCTAAAAGTGATTTCATGCTAATAAGGTGTCTTTCGAAACACCTAGCCTCTTGGTCGCAGGTTATGGTATTAAATATGATACTTTGCGGTCAAAGATGTTTCACTCGATGTGCGGTGAGGATATTCAACTCAAAATGAGGAGTTATTTCGGATCGATTCAACACGGAAGGAAGGAAATGGACGGTGGTTTTTGAATGTTGCAGCTGACACTCATCAAAACGGAGCGCTGTGAATGGAAAAAAAAGTATTTCAAAGATGAATTTGTTGCATAATGGTGGAAAAGAAAAGCGCTAGTGTAAATGTGTTTCTTTCAGTCCTGAGAGTTCCCCCAAAGTTGTTGTTTTTAGAAAAACGCGCTTGCATCTTCTCCCTTTCATGCATTTGATTTTATAAGTAATTCATTCTTGATAAAGAGTTGTTCAACTTTGAACAAATGATTTTGAAAAGTTGTCGCAAACATGGTGGGGAAAATTAAGCTTAGCTCAGTGACTTAAGTTTAATATACCGTGGTAGACGACAACGTTTCCTCGTTCATATTGATATAACCATTTACTCTTACCTGATAAACTAATAATTTCAGACGCAATGGTTTATAAAAAGCCGCCACCGATGTTCTACTGCCGCCATTACGAACCCTTACCGCAGTCTGTTTAACCTACAACCAGGCATTCATGTTTGAGTTTCGCCTTACGACCCTCTCTGGGCACACCATCGGCAGGCACCTGTGGAAAATATTATTGAAAACCCCCGCAAACCATATTTGAAAAAAAATATTTCATTACTTCTTGTTTTATTTCAAGATGTCTGCCGACACGTGCATTTCTTACAAGGCATTCCTGATAAAGCCCTTATTGGTCACGTGATCAAAACGATACCAGTGGAGACAGATGACCATTGTGAGATTGCTTGTTACCGCGACCTCATGTGTCTCTCCTATAACATAGCACCCAAACAGGCTCATGGACATCAATGTGAGCTCAGCAAATCGGATCACATCCGAGACCCTGCTGATTTAGTTCCTATGGCAGGGTACATGTACAGACCAACTGAGGTATACAATGTAATGGGCCATTTCTGAGTTCCAAAACACCTTACCCTCAGAATGAAACTAAATTAGCAAAGCTTTTGTCGTGAGAATGAAGTTTATTTACATTAGGAGAAAATATGATTTCCGCTTAAATGTTTCGAACGATAATAGCCTCGTTTCAAAACAATGTTGGAGAGTAGGAGAATGGAGACTAATGTTGACTGAAAATCTAACTTTACAACTTCAATTTTGAAAATGAAGTCTCATCAGTTTTAATTTATGTAAAATAAATATGCCGTGTAGCTACCTTAAAAAAACGAAATTGCATAGGGTTTTTACTAAATTCAGGGAACAAATTTATCCCCTTTGGCAAGATTCTAGTCAGTTAGCAGGTGTCATCGATAAGTTTTCGAAATCTGTGCTGATGTATTTAACAAACAATATATCTTTTTGGTCTTTTGGGATTAAATGCGACATACTGTAATTTCTTTGTATCGGGCACACTCAGTTAACACTTATTTTTTCCCGGAATTACGCCGTTATTTGAATCTCCAAAGTTTTTGGCGACTGTTCATGATTTCTCTGCCAGAATAACGGGACCAATATTTCATTTATTTCTTGGTTAGAGTCGTTGTTCGTCAAGTCCTTGCCCTGATAACGCCACATGTGTTTCCCTCACGGAGACAACTTTCCAGTGTCTGTGTCCACCAGGATTTACCGGGAACAGCTGTGAAACGGGTATGCTAAGCAAACCAAGCAATTTAATGTCACCTCGTGAATTAAGACGCGATTGTTTTTAGTTTTGCATTTTATTGCATGAATTGATTGAGAGGATAGAGCAAGAATTCATGACCAATCAACGAGGTAAAGAAAATTCAAAGCAACTCAGGATCACTTTCGATGCTTGACCCAACTGACCTTCCTGAGCTGATTGTCCCCGTCACTCATTTGAAAGTTGCTCTTTGCTGCAGACATAGACGAGTGTGAAACTAACCAGTTCAACTGCCCGGTGAACGGGGAGTGCGTTAACACTGCGGGCTCATATGTATGCAATTGTGTCAGCGGTGTGATCGATGGCGTAGGAGTCTGCCAACTTATGACAGGTAAGCTAGTGGGAAACGTCGGCGAGATAGTATGATGCCTTAAGCAACGCGAGCCGGCGGGAGGTCTGTAAGGGACTTCATTTTTAACGTAATACAAGCTACAACCTGAGGAGCTCCGAGAACAAAATTGCCACTAACGAATTCATTTTAAAATATTTTTAGTTATAAAGGCCCCACGTTGTGGAATAGCCATCCTTGCGAGGCTGGGTGCGCAGAATCCCTCGGGTCGTTCAAACGAGAAATCAATAAAGCTCTCTAAGGCTCGGTGATATAGTATAATTAATATAATTAATAGTTAACAGCTTTTAATCCTTTGTAAATAGCTGGTAGATTGCCTGTGAATTGTCAGACCTCCGGCTAACCTCATCCCGACTCGTTTCAAATCTTCCCATGGGCGAGAAAAGCGTGTCCTATATCGCTAATAACAAGGCCTGGTATCTAACTTCTTTTTTTTTTCTCTCTCTTTCAAAGGAACTGATTGCAAGGAGATCAAGACCACATTCCCGAGTGCTCCAGATGGGATGTACGAAATACAACCGAACATCAGGAACAGCAAATTCTGGGCGTATTGTGATATGACGTCATTTGGAGGAGGATGGACGATGTGTTACTCTACTGACGATCTTGCTGACCCTAAAACAGAAGTGACCTATGACGAGAATTATCGCTATGGCGTAGATGGTTACCGAACTGACTGCAATAATGTTCAGGTGATTAAGAGAGGTTGAAGTGCAAGAGTTAATTTTGAGGAATAATGATGTTTGGCAAATCCCGGCTTAGGTCTTTGTCATATTTCAGGCGCCATAATGAGTAATCAGCCTGATAAATAGCTTATAAACACTCTCTTGCCCTCATGTTATGCTTGCGAGGTTCTTAATCGTTTTTTTTTTTCTGGAAATATTTTATATTTTCACTGGGAGTTTTATCTTTTACATTCAATATTTATGTTTTTAACCAACTCTGTACCATACTGTAGATGAGGACTGACAGTGATCTCCGCTGGAATGCCAAATTTACTACAAGAATTTCAGTACCTTCTGTACTGTGCTTCATTTGGTCTGGTAATCATAATTTGAACATGAGTCACTGTTTCCTAAATTTGATGACCACATTCTCAAAATAAGAACCTGTTCTTTTTTGGAATGCTGAACTATTTCTTATCACCGGAATGGTGCTTTTTTCATCAAGTTTTAGTCTGAAGATTCTTAATCTAATTGTTCTTGTTCTCTTAACCTAGTCATGTTATTCAACACGACAGTCTTTTTCACTGTTTTTTTTTTTTTTTTTGCTTGCAGTTTCGGGAAATTCTCTTTGTGGATGAGACCACGAATGAAAAGGCTTTCTTTACCTATAAACTTAATTCCAGCCTCGTCGCAAAGGGAAATTACCAGAAACAAATCTCCGGCCTGTGGCTAGGTGGAGGTGTAGCTACCACAAGTCATGAATACCAGCTTCTTATCTGCAACCACAGCTTCTACTCTGGCTTTTTCATATCTGGCTATACAAACTGCTATAAAGGGTGCATTCATTGGTGTGGTGATTGGCTCACTCCTTACTTCCGGTCAGCGTCCACTAATCCAAAGTATGCCGGAGTCGCCTTTAACGTCAATGGACATCGGTCGCGAAGCAGCAGACTGATGAGTGTTGGACTGAGATAAATGATGGCTGAAAGAATTTTTGTGGCGTACAATTTGTTGATGTATCTCAGTAAGTGAGTCAGTCAACCATTCACTCAGTCAAGAGGTCGGTCGGTTGGTTGTTGGCGAGTCAGTCAGTCTGTCGGTCAGTTTGCCGATTATAGCCGAATGTTGTTATCTGCTACTTTCGAAATATTCATTCGTGGCAGCTTTCAAACGTAAAATGATGATAAGATTTAGAACGCGTCAGTGTTAAAAACTCTCAGATCACACGTTTTTCGTCCATTTATAGCCATCCTCTGGTTATCACTCTAAAAAAAGATATCATGATATGTGCAAGTTTACGTCTGATTTCCAAGCCTTGCTTTCAGAGATTGTTGAGTTTTAATCGAAAAATATTCCCATAACACTGAAATCAAAGAATATACTCTTGAAAAAAAACACGAAAGTGGCAAAGATATATGTATATGTTCGTGCGAACGATACTTTAGGTAAATTTTTTGGTAAATGACTTCTATTTGTATACGAGCTATTAATGTTAATGATGATAGAAAGTTACCCATCGTTCCACCCATTTCGTTTCTTGTGTATCACTGGAAGATCAACGTATTATTGGCGACGAAATTCTTGTACTAGACGTTACATACGTACAGTAATGTCCATGCATGACGTACTTACGATTGTTTGGCGACCAAACCGCTGACAAGGAGCCAAAATGACCCATGGCTCGAGACTGACGTCAGCTTGATTTTGTAATTAAGTTAAGACTTATTCATTCAGCAGGGTTGAAGATTGTAAATAAAGAAGTTGTGCCGTCTTTGTTTGTTTGTTTTTGCCATATGATTGTTTCAGGGAAAGTCTAAACATATAACAAAGCACCTAAGGTGTTAGTTTTGTTTTCCTTTGGGTCCTGCTGTCGGGAAACATCACGACTCCCAGGAAAACAAAACTGTTTCCCTCAGAGCCATACATTAAGTGTAGATTGTTTTCCTTTCTATTCCTCAAGTTTGCGTTTTTGCGTGAGGTTATGTAAGGTTTACGTAACACCGGTAGCCAGTATAAGCGTTGTCTTTTCCAGATTTTTCATTCGCTGGTTGACCTCGATTAGGGCAGTCGTTTTATTGGTTTTTGCTAGCGCCGTGGTACTTTTGTTTGAGAGTTTTTCCTATCGGACCTGGTTATGCCACAAATTGTAAGTTCATTTCTAGTTCATGTAGCTTTGTTTTTACTCTTGTCGTTATTCTTGACGTTATCATATTTGTACTTAGATATTTGTATTAATTATTTCTTTTCAGTTGAATCACCTTTACGAGTTTATTAATTTACACATCTTCCATCTTTGTATTTGTCTGGTAATTAGCTATGGCGATGGTTTCCACAGTAACCTCATAACAAGATATAAGGTTGCCTCGCTTTGGAGTGTTAAGCTGGTCTCGCATTGGATCGTTTAGCTGTCAGGTTTTCCCAACTCTTCTTTCAATCTAAATTAGAAACTTGACAGCAAAGTACTATTTCAACATGTCTCTCGCCTTCGCTTTATTACATCACATTATGTTCGCAGTTCATTTCGTGGTTGTCGGAGGTAGCGGTAAGTCTCTCAAATTAGTAAATTAAAGTTAGAGAGCATAATATGAAAAAGGAAAACAAAATACGTTCATACCTTACTTTGTCACCAAGTTTGAAGCCCAAGAAAGTTGTTTCCCCTCAAAGCATCATTTTCTCGCTCGCAGTTCTGCTTGCGTTTCAGTTATCTATCTCGAGGGTAGCAATAAGCAGTCTTGAGTGATAGTAGAGACGGAAAGTTGTTCTCACGACGAGAGTTTAGTCAAACACACGACGAAGATTCAAGCCCTGAAAATGAAACAAGCCTAAAAATATTTCGGAAGACTATCGACAACATTTTATCACTTGTAAATACTTCAGCTGATAGGAGGATTTTCCATTGTTTTGTTCCACTAATCTCGCAACACTTAGCAGGGACTTGGTAAAAATTTTGAAGATGAAGTACTTTACATATCGAGGACCGATAATTTACTTTTCATTACTAATTCATGGTAAATGAAGTCAAATTCTTAGTTGCGTTTACGACCAAGACACCGGAACAGGTGTACAGCTCGCACTATGAGCCTGAACCGTTAATATTCCCGTAATGACTTTCCATGTTAAAATGTTATGGCTAACACTTAGTACTAACAATAATAAACGCAGTAACTAAGTCTATACTCGCTGTAATTGCTTCCTAATACGATGGTGCATAACAAAAGCTAAGGGAAATTTGCAACTTTTTCTATTCCCAACTAAACTCAAACTTCCCCTTTGGAGGGGTAAGTGGTAATATGAAGGTGGAAACAGCTATAGAATAAAAATTTTTAATCTCGAGATCTGAAACTGACATAGATATTATGATTATCAAAACTTGTACACCTTTAGCAGCAACTGAGACAATTAATTTCCTTTGGAAATATTCGACAAACTTTATCATTACTCTTTACCGCTCAGTTCTGCTGCATAAAAGTGATTTCATGCTAATTAGGTGTCTCTCGAAACACCTTTTGGTCGCGCGTCATGGAATTAAGTATGATACTTTGCGGTTAAAAACAAGCATATGTAGATGTTTTCCTCGATGTGCGGTGAGGATATTCAACTCAAAATGAGGAGTTATTTCGGGTCGATACAACACGGGAGGAAAAAAATGGACGGAAGTTTTTTAACGTTGCAGCTGACACTCATCAAAAGGAAGCGCTGTGAATGAAAAAAAAAATTATTTTAAAGATGAATTTGTTGCATTATGGTGGAAAAGTTGCGAGAAAAGCGCTAACGTAAACGTGTTTCTTTCAGCGCTGAGAGTTCCCCCAAAGTTGTTGTTTTTAGAAAAACGCGCTTGCATCTTCTCCTTTTCATGCATTTGATTTTATAAGTAATTCATTCTTGATAAAGTGTTGTTCAACTTTGAACAAACGATTTTGAAAAGTTGTCGCAAATATGGCGGGAAAAATTAAGCTTAGCTCAGTGACCTGAGTCTCATATACAGTGGTAGACGACGACGTTTACTTGCTCAAATTGATATAACAAATAACTCTTACCTTATAAACTAATAATTTCAGACGCAATGGTTTATAAAAAGCCGCTACCGATGTTCTATTGCTAAGACTTACCACAGTCTGTTTAACCTACACCCTGGCATTCATAGTTGAGTTTCGCCTTACGGCCCTCTCCGGGCACACCATCGGCAGACGCCTGTGGAAAATATTATTGAAAACCCCCTCAAACCATATCTGAAAAAAAAGCTCGTGTTACCACTTGTTTTATTTACAGATGTCTGCCGACAAGTGTATTTCTTACAACGCATTGCTGATAAAGCCCTAATTGGTCACGTGATCAAAACGATACCAGTGGAGACAGATGACCATTGTGAGATTGCTTGTTTCCGCGACCTCATGTGTCTCTCCTATAACATAGGACCCAAACAGGCTGGTGGACATCAATGTGAGCTCAGCAAATCGGATCACATCCGAGACCCTGCTGATTTAGTTCCTATGGCAGGGTACATATACAGACCAACTGAGGTACACAATGTAATGACAATTTCTGAGTTCCAAAACACCTTACCCTCAGAATGATGCTAAATTAGCAAAACTTTCGTCGTAAGAATGGAGTTTATTTTCATTAGGAGAAAATATGATTTCCGCTTAAAGGTTTCGAACGATAATAGCCTCGTTTTGAAACAATGTTGGAGAGTAGGAGAATGGAGAATAATGTTGACTGATAATCTAACTTTACAAGTTTAATTTTGAAAATGAAGTCTCGTCAATTTTTATTTATTTAAAATAAATATGCCGTGTAGCTGACTTAAAAAAAAGAAATTGCGTAGGGTTTTACTAAATTCAGGGAACAAATTTATCCCCTTTGGCAAGATTCTAGTCAGTCAGCAGGTGTCATCGATAAGTTTTCGAATTCTTTGCTGATGTATTTAACAAACAATATATATTTTGGGATTGAATGCGACATACTGTAACTTCTTTGTATCGGGCACACTCACTTAACTCTTATTTTTTTCCCGGAATTACGCCGTTATTTGAATCTCCAAAGTTTTGCCAACTTCATTTTCAAGTTCCGGCGAATAAGCCAGAATAATGTGACCAATATTTCATTTATTTCTTGGTTAGAGTCGTTGTTCGTCAAGTCCTTGCCCTGATAACGCCACATGTGTTTCCCTCACGGATACAGCTTTCCAGTGTCTGTGTCCACCAGGATTTACCGGGAACAGCTGTGAAACGGGTATGTTAAGCAAACCAAGCAATTAAGTGTCACCTCATGAATTAACCCTTTATCTCCTAGAAGTGATTAACATGAAATTTCTCCCTATAATATCCATACATTATTCAGCAAACAGGTAATGAGAATATTCGAACTTATCAGATAGAAGCTGCTATTTTGATCTAGCACCAAGCTCTAGTAACTTATTTACAAGGAAATGTGAAGCAGCTAGAGGGGAGAATTAACAATCAGATCTTGGGAGTTAAAGGGTTAACGCGATTGTTTTTAGTTTTGCATTTGATTGCGTGAATTGATTGAGAGGATAGAGCGAGTATTAATGACCAGTCACAGAACGAGGTAAAGTAAATTCAAAGCAAGTCAGGATCACTTTCGATGCTTGACCTAACTGACCTCCCTGAGCTGATTTTCCTCGTCACTCATTTGAAAGTCGCTCTTTGTTACAGACTTAGACGAGTGTGAAACCAACCAGTTCAACTGCCCGGTTAACGAGGACTGCGTTAACACCGTGGGCTCATATGTATGCAGCTGTGTCAGCGGTGTGAACGATGACGTAGGAGTTTGCCAGCTTACTACAGGTAAGCTAATGGGAAACGTTCGCAAGAAAGTATGATGCCTTAAGCAACGCGAATCGGCGGGAGGTCTGTAAGGAACTTTATTTTTAACGCAATGCAAGCTACAACCTGAGGGACTTCGAGAACAAACTTAATGTTGGAATACCACCAACAAATTCATTTTAAAATATTTTTAGTTATAGTGGCCCCACGTTGTGGAATAGCCTTCCTTGCGAGGCTGGATGCGCGGAATCCCTCGGGTCGTTCAAACGAGAAATCAATAAAGCTCTCTAAGGCTCGGTGATATAGTGTAATTATTACAATTAATAGTTAACAGCTTTTAATCCTTTGTAAATAGCTGGTGAATTACCCGTGACTGCTTAGATTTTAATGACAAACACTGATGATGTCAGACCTCCGGCTAACCTCTTCCCGACTCGTTTCATATCTTCCCACGGGCGGAAAAAAGCGTGTCCTATATCGCTAATAACGAGGCCTGGTATCTAACTTCTTTTTTTTTCTCTCTCTCTCTCTTTGAAAGGAACTGATTGCAAGGAGATCAAAACCACAGTCCCGAGTGCTCCAGATGGGATGTACGAAATACAACCGAACATCGGGAACAGCAAATTCTGGGCGTATTGTGATATGACGTCATTTGGAGGAGGATGGACGATGTGTTACTCTACTGACGATCTTGCTGACCCTAAAACAGAAGTGACCTATGACGAGAATTATCGCTATGGCACAAATGGTTACCGAACTGACTGCAATAATGTTCAGGTGATTTAAAGAGGTTAAGGTGCAAGAGTTTAATTTTGAGGAATAACGATGTTTGGCAAATCCTGGCTTATGTGTTTGTCATATTTCAGGCGCCATAATGAGTAATCAGCCTGATAAATAGCTTATAAACACTCTCTTGCCCTCATGTTGGGAGGTTCTTAATCGTTTTTTTTTTCTGGAAATATTTTATATTTTCATTGGGAGTTTTATCTTTTATATTCTATATTTAGGTTTTTACATAGGTGTACCATACTTTAGATGAGGACTGACAGTGATCCCCCCTGGAAAGCCAAATTTACTACAAGAATTTCAGTACCTTCTGTACTGTACTTCATTTGGTCTACCACTCATAATTTGTACACGAGTCACTGTTTCCTAAATTTGATGACCACATTTTCAAAATAAGAACCTGTTCTTTTTTTGGAATGCTGAACTATTTCTCATCACTGGAATGGTGCTTTTTTCATCAAGTTTCAGTCTGAAGATTCTTAATCTACTTGGTCTTGCTCCCCTAACCTAATCATCTTATTCAACACGACAGTCTTTTTCTGCCTGTTTTTTTTTGCTTGCAGTTTCGGGAAATTCTCTTTGTGGATGAGACCACGAATGAAAAGGCTTTCTTTACCTATAAACTTCACTCCAGTCTCGTCGCAGAGGGAAATTACCAGACACAAATTTCTGGCCTGTGGCTAGGTGGAGGTGTAGCTAACACAAGTCATGAGTACCAGCTTCTTATCTGTGACCACAGCTTTTACTCTGGCTTTTTCATATCCGGTTATACAAACTGTTATAAGCACTGCAATACTTGGTGTGGTGATACGCTCACCCCTTACTTCAGGTCAGCGTCCACTAATTCACGTTATGCCGGAGTCGCCTTCAACGTCAATGGACATCGGCCGCGAAGCAGCAGACTGATGAGTGTTGGACTGAGATAAATTATGGCTGAAAGAGTTTTTGTGGCGCACAATATGGTGCTGTACCTTCAGTAAGTCGGTTAATCAGTTAGACAGTCAACCATTCACTCAGTCAAGATGTCAGTCAGTTGATCGTTGGCGAGTCAGTCAGTCAGGCGGTCTGTCGGTCAGTTGACCGATGATAGCCGAATGTTGTTACCTGCTACTTTCGAAATATTCATTCGTGGCTGAAATCAACGAATATACTTATGAAAACAAAAGGAAAGTGACAAAGATTTACGTACATTTTCGTGCAAACGATGCTTTGGGTAAATTTCCATGGTAAATGACTTCTATTTGTATACGAGCTATTGATGATGATGACGATAGAAAGTTACCCATCGTGCTTTGTGCTCCTCCGCTTCTTCATGGCAAGCGTCACTCAAGATGGCTGGGAATGAGCCAGGTGCACTCTTGAATAGAGAAAAAGACAATAATAATAATAAGGAAAAAAATTAAAAACGAAAACTTAAACTGAAGACCCAGAGTGGAAAGCATTTTTTGCTGTTGTGCAAATAAAGCTGCTTCTACAGTCAGAAAACCAGCTTAGTTGAGTTGACCGGCCAACAAAATAAAATATTGAAGAAGTAAAGAAATGATCCACATAGGCGAGCTGCTATAAAAGAAAAAAATTCATTAAAAAATTACTTGAAAAAAGTTAGGTTTCGACGACATTCGCACCAGTGCCTTTTAGATGTTAGTAATACCAATTCACATGTATAGCTTCATTTTGGATGCGTAATTTTTTTCGAGCCTCTTTAGCAGTTTTTTCTTTTATCGAAGCTCGCCTCTGTACATTAATTCTTTTCTTGTGTATCATTCGAAGATTAACGTGTTATTAGCGACGAAATTCATTAGCGACATCTGTGCATAGCCTATTAATTTGTAATTACTCCTAATAATTATTTATTTATTACCTCTAATAATTCTATAATTATTCTTGTTCATGTAAATCGTTGTGGTTGCGGTTCCCCCGGCTATCCAGGTTCAACTGTTTAACGATCCGTGATACAGCTTGTTGTTAAACTATCATCATATTTGTCCAGTGGAGACAACATAGTTGATTTGTTTGTTTCAATAATAATAGTAAGCTTCTCGTTTACGATATATATATATATCAAATGTTCACGGAGGTGGTAAGTTTCTGAAAATTTTGAAGCTTAAAAAGTGATTGCTGGTGTCAAGTAGTTTTTGAGCTTGTTAAAGGAAATTTGGTTTTCAAAGAATTTTTTTCTTAACTATTGTGTTAAGTCTGTATGAAAATCTCAACCAAAGCCGCCATTCCAACGTTTCCTAAAAGTTCAAACGAGGCGTTCCGTATATTAACATACTGCTCGTTTAAAGGAGGATTAACAAGCTGATGTTCTCGTCAAAACGCTTGGTTATACTCGCTCCTCAGAAGTTCAGAACTAAAGAGCCAACTTCTTTTGCTTCCCACCTCTTGAGTTTTTTAATAATTTACCAGTTTATGTATTAACATTTCTTTCAAGAAGCGCAGCGTTGCCTGATACATTATTGCACTATAAACAATTGCCCACCTACGTGGAGGTAAATATCAACTATTTTTACCGACACTGAGGTGAATAATTGGCTTAGGCTTACGCGTGTACAGTTATGACTCTTCTCAATGCTGGAAATCCTAATAAATAATAATAGTAATTGTTATAATAATAATAATAGTCATAATAATAATAATTATCATAATAATAATAATTATCATAATAATAATAATTATCATAATAATAATAATTATCATAATAATAATAATTATCATAATAATAATAGTAACTATGATAATTATAAACTTGAAAAAAATTCGAATTGTTGAACGTGTTCACCGTCTCCAATGGTTCTAGATCTAATTTTAGCATAACATATGAGCATTATTGAATACAAAGAAAATGATTTGCCACTGGGTTTCCCTTTTCCAGACCATGCAAATGCTTATTATTTCAGATTGTTGTGTGGCAGAGCACGGGCTATGAAATGCACAAAGTTTGAATGTCAATAATTATAATTGTTATAATAATAATAATAGTCATAATAATAATAATTATCATAATAATAATAATTATCATAATAATAATAATTATCATAATAATAATAATTATCATAATAATAATAATTATCATAATAATAATAGTAACTATGATAATTATAAACTTGAAAAAAATTCGAATTGTTGAACGTGTTCACCGTCTCCAATGGTTCTAGATCTAATTTTTAGCATAACATATGAGCATTATTGAATTCTGGCTACAAAGAAAATGATTTGCCACTGGGTTTCCCTTTTCCAGACCATGCAAATGCTTATTATTTCAGATTGTTGTGTGGCAGAGCACGGGCTATGAAATGCACAAAGTTTGAAAACGCACGAGCTTGATCCTCTCAGTAGCTCCCTGATCTGATTGTTAATTCTCCCCTCTAGCCGCTACAAATTTCCTTGTAAATTGGTTATGAGAATTTGGCGTTAAAAAAAATAACATTGTTTACCTGATAATTTCGAGTACAGCTCCTTACCCGGGCGATTATATTACACGACGAAGAATAAACAAGGAAAAATAAAATATTTTTAATTCTTTTTTTTTTTTATAGTTTCGTGAGATAATGTTTGTGGATGAAATATCGGGAGAAAAAGCTGCCTTCACCTACAAGCCTGATTCTACAGTTGTCGCACGAGGAAACTACGACAACCCATTGCCTGAACTGTGGCAAAGTATCGGTATAGCTGCCACAAGTTATAAATACCAGCTGCTTTTCTGTAACTGAAGCTTCTATTCTGGATTTTTTATGTCCGGTTATACAAATTGTTACAAGAGTTGCAGCTGATGAGGTAGTGATTATGGATCTCCATACTTCCGGTCAGCGTCTTCTCTACTCCTGTATGCAGGAGTCGCCTTCAATGTCAATGGACATCAGATTGTAAGTGGCCGACTGATGAGTGTTGGGTTGAGATAAATGAAAATTCACCGGCGAGTGAGGCCGTGTATAAAGTTCAAATGTAACACTTGCCCTCGGTACAGGCGTTACTGTTTTGGTTTGTTTTTCAGGCGAGTGAAAACATTCCGAGGTAAGCCCGAGGCGAACGCATGGAGGAGGCGAGGCAGGCGTGACGAATGAGACATGCCTTGCGTTCGCTCCCGTTTGCCGACGAAATTCCAAAATAAAGAAAAAGAACACCAGACTTCCTGGCAATTGTCACATATCAAACTTGTATATATTATCTTGATCACCGCGATTCCTCTGTAGCGAAGTAGGTAGAGTATCTTATAGCAAAATTAAAAAACTTTCTGGTCCTGAGCCTGTTCAAGTTGGTCTCTGGTCAGTGCACAAGAGCTAAAACGCGAGTGTGCGAAAATTAACCAGCTGCTCGTAGTCTTCCTACTTTCTTCCACAAGTTTTCTCTCGTCTCCACAAATTAAGCGTGATTGACTGTACTGGGCTTGTGCTTGGCCCCTGAATCCTCCTAGGTAGAGAGCATTTTACTTGGCATCACACAAAAAAAAACCTTGGAGATCCTTCTTTATTGAACGATAAAGAAGTGTTTCAGTATGGCAGGCGAATTTTAGGCTTTTCAGAAGCCCCTTTGGGACAGAAAAATTGGAAGCTGGGGGTCAAGAAGACTTTATATAGAACGTTAGTGTCTGCGGTATATGCTTTTTCAAAGTACAGTATTCCAAATAGTGTTGCTCATAATTATATGCCTAACCTTGTCGAAGCCCCCCACCAATTGAAAGCTTCTTTAAATTACTGTAACATAATTTGATTTTATCAACTTGGTTAATAATATAAATTGGCCACCGTAAAGAGTTTCCAAGGCTGGCATTCACTTTATCGTGAGCCTTTCGTTTGAGCGAATGAATCCTTCTTCACTCTAACATAAGGCTAATTAATTAACATTCGAAACGTCAGGCTTAGATACTCTTTATGGTGGCCAATTTACATTAACAACTCAGTTGATATATAAAGAATCCCAAGATATGGAATTCCTCTTCCAGTGTTTAACTCTAGAGATATCGAGTTGAAGACGAGAAGAGAGGTCAAATATCAGCAAGCCACGTACTTTTATTATTATTATGTTTAAAACATAAACACTATAGGCCTTTACTAACTAGAAAATTCGACCTTTAGTAATGAATAAAAATAAAAAAGAATGATCTACAATCCAGGGGGAAAAGTCGTAACGTGGGCAGGAGATGAGGCTCAAGATGAAAAAATGCGTAGAACTATTTAAAAAACCAACAATGGGTGTAACTTGTAACTCACAAAATGCTATAATCCTGGAAAATTTCTTTAAAAGACCTTGGATAAAGAATGGCGAACGCTTTGCTGTTTGCTCAGTCATCAGCCTGACAGTGCAAAAGGAGAGTGACGTGTCAGGTCTGTCAGCCGGCATGGCGATATCGAGCAAACGTAAAAATTATCGTAATTTAACACAAGTCCAGTTACGGCTTTTTTTAGGGCTGGAAAAGTTTTTGAAATACCGCAGTTACTTCATATATGAATAATGTTTTTGCCTTCAAAATACGCTTTCTCAAGGCCGGGAGTTTGCCTATAATTGTATTCCTAAACTGATCGAAGTTCCTTACCAACTGAACACTTTTAATTGCTGTAATTGTGTGTACTTTGAGTACAGTAAGCCATATCATTTTGACTATTTGAGGTTTCTTTACCTAAAATTTCAATTAATTACGCTTTAACAGATAAAAAAGACATGCATTATTACTCCGTTAAGCTAGGTACTTGCTTTTCGAATAGTGCATGAATGACGTCCTAAATATGATATGATTTTGAGATTTTTATGTGCGTTTACCAGCGACTGATTATGAATTTATGAACACTTACGTTGTACAGAATTAAATGTATGTAACTTTTGTTATTTATTTGAAAGACATAGAGCACTTGTAATGATTATATTTAACGCAAAAGTGAACATATTACCGATATGCGAGCCACGGATATTAAGCTTCGAGCTGGGTTGAAAACAAACCACGGATGGACTTTAGGTGAGGCAGTAAATTTATACAATACAAGAAATGTTATTGAAGAATTATGCAAATTATTCTTTAAAAAAACATTTAAAATACTGGTCTTTCTCTAATTTAAAACACACAAATAAATACAAAATTTTCGAAAGAGAAAGTTTTTTTGGAAAGAGATTTGTACTTGCAGAATAAAAGTGTTGCTCTCGTTAATTTCGTTTGCATGGACACAGTCTTTCTCTGCTTTTCACTGCATTCCGTCAGCTTTATCTTTTAGCTTTATAATTTTGTCCATTTCAGCTAACCGTACCATTTTCGTGCAGTTCAGTCGTTTGAATGCGACCGTCAGATTCACAGGGAACCCCAAAAAATTTAAATCAAACGGCCAAACTTCTTTATCTCAGTTTGCAATTCGCTTGAACCGTTATCCCTTGATATCAACAACGTCAATGCCATGTCAATGGAGGAAGCAGCCAACAACACAGACATGCTGCACACAGAGCGGCGAAAAGACCATCATCTCTTTGACGAAAGGCCGGTTGATCTTCATAGATGAATACAGTAGTTTGTGGCGCAACCATTGGATATGCCTGGTATGGCTGGCTCGTGTAGACTTCTGTATTCGGCGGAGGGAATTCCCTTTGGAAGGGAATTCCGCTGTCGTTGGCTGGGTAGTAATGTGGCGGTTGAAACGAAGGTTGCTGGTAGTAACTCATTCTTAGTTTTAAGTTTTACTGCCGTGAAGAAATTGCAATACTGTGTTAAAAATTTGTTAGAAGGCTAAATGTTGTTTGATATTCCTTTAGCGCTGCGAACACACGTTCGGTTTGTATTTCAATGCGCGCAGCGCAGCAAAATAATAAAAATATCGAATTGATTTTCACTCCATCGACGACTCTACATTTGTTTCCGGTTTTTGAGGAAGCAAAAACCAATTCCTTCAAAGGAACTTTTATCTGCAGTTTTAAAGTCTCGCTTGAAAGATTTTTTCCCAGGAACTTGACACGCACGTAATACACCAAGGTGAGTAATATTTTCTGTTTGTGCAGGGAACTCCTTTGCTCAGACCACTAATTTGTGCTGCCTCCAGGGAACGATACTCAGATGAAAGAATTTGATGAATAATATTTTCCCACTCAGGTGAGAAGGCAACCTGCGAACGATCGTGATTGGTTTCGACGGAGAAGACTTGCAGTGGAGCGGTAGAATTCTGCTCGGCGATAACAAACACCGCCTTGGCCTTCAAGCTTTGCCCCTATTCCTCTGTCTTTTCGTTTGGTTGAAAATTTGCCAAGAAAAGGAAGCTTGAGAGACGCCACAAAAACGGGTAACAACAAGATCTATGCATATTTAATGAGCGGTAACACAATGTTAGGTAAATGGCTCGTTATATTATTACTACACCGATGTTTTCTTAATGGCATGTTATGGGCTTTTTGATGTCTGGCAAACAAACCATCGTTTAAATGACACCAAGTGTTCGCCACAAGAATTTAATTTATTTTTTCTCTTTCTATTGAGCTAAACAAAGAACCAAAATATGAAACCTGTTCTAATAACGATTCAAGCTTGCCAGAAGATCAAAACCTAAAAACCTGTTGCTATGACATTTTCATCTTCTTTGTCCTGTTGATAAATAATTGAGACAGTGAATATTAGCTGATATCATGGCTATAACCAGTTAGTGCATTCCTAGTTTCTTTGCATTTCGCGAACATTTTTGTTTTCGTTTGTAAATGGGAAATTTATTCAGATTTCAATTCGCGTCCACCTGCAGCCGGTGGTTGTCGAAAGTAATTTTAAATAGTCGCAAAATACACTTTTCCCCCGAATATTACGAGTTAATACAAACGAAAACAAGTTACCCATAACTGGATCAAACGTTAGTTGATAGTGGAAAATGGACAAACCATATAAATATTGTAATCATTTTAATGAGTTTAAATATATAAATTTCACCATCTCTTTTCGCGTGGGACTCCGTGGCGCAATGGTAGCGCGTCTGACTCCAGATCAGAAGGCTGCGTGTTCAAGTCACGTCGGGGTCACTGAGGATTTCTTTTTTCTTTTTTTTTTTTATCGAGAAAATACCAGTTTTCATTTGGCCTCACGAAGAATCGTTTTCGAGAATTTTTCACTTCCTTCTCTCTCTTAAGGCTTCATGAAACATAATTTACGCACCAACAAGTAGGCAGGTCGCAAAGAGTTTTTTCCACGGTTTGTGTTTTGGCCCACAACTGTTACGACAAAACCGAAAAGCTCACGGCAAAACCAAAAGCCTTTTGGTTTAGCCGTGAGCTCTTTAGGATTGCCGTGACAGTTGTGGGCCACTGTAGTTTTTCTTCAACAAACAAAAATCTAACAAACACTAGACAAGTCAGGAGCAAATCGCGTTTCATTACGCGGCGCTTGAACGAAGTAAGGAGATTATCCACTGAATTAACGAATTTTTTGCTTATCAGTAATGTAAACGTCTGGTATTTAAACTAAAAGCTTCTCACGCGAGAGTGGATTATTTCCTAGACATCTTGGGTTGATAACACACTCTTGTTTTCAAGCTTAGCATCACGTGCGGTTTTCGACAAGGCATATTAATCTTCCGTGTGTTGCCAATAATACTGAATAGGACTCGGCCAGCATGTCTCGGAGACATCTAACATCATACTATTCAAAAACCAAGACACATTCCCAGGGCGTGAAATTAACTTTTTTTTCTGATAGCCACTTGGCTCCTAAATTCTTCAAAGTGGTAGCCAATTCAAAAAAAGTTGGTCGCCATTTTCAAAGACAAATAAAATCTTTCTTTACGCTGTCAACGTTCTAGATAGACCCTCCAAAATTAAGTTAGGGAAAAGATCTTTAACGTGCTTCAAAGTGGACACTAGGATGGATGATATACAACGTTCAGGCTCATCTAAATCCAAGATGGCGTCTAGTTATCGATCGAGATGCATGTGCTACGTTTTGGAAACAAACTTAACGAGGAAGTTTGCCGCGGATTTATCTTTGCAAATCTTTTTAATTCACTATATCTCTTGGTAAGGTTATGATGAAACGTTCTAGTCGCCAATTTGGCGACTAACTTTCAGGATTTGGTCGCCAAAGTTAAAAATTTAGTCGCATTGGCGCCTGTATTAGGCGCAATTTCACGCCCTGATTCCCAAACGATCGATTGCTTACGCCATTGTTTTCTTTATCCTGTCTGCGTAGGGAGGTATTGGGCTGTACGGAAATCTTGTCAGCGAGCAGGGGAGGGAGGAGGTTATCGTGACCTCTTCAATTTATCAGATGCAAGCTTTCGAGCACACGGATGACGTTTTTGGTTGTTTTAAAATAAAAGTGCAGAAAGATTGTGTGAGTAAGTAAAGAATGATGGTTGGTTTAACAACTAGCAAAATTACTCTTTTATAGTTCTTGAGCCTGGGGAAGTGAGTGGGAAGTCTTGAGATATATGTCTTCTCCCTGTAATTCCAAGGCCTTACGCAGTGATCCCAAATCTTATTTTTCTTTTTTTTCGTAAACTAGTATGAATTGTTGAAATGCTGTTAGATGCAGATAAAAGCTATTGGTAGCGTTCCTGTAACTTGACATTTCTTGACATAGAGCATTAAGAGATTTAGGTGATTTGGTGATTGGGATGAGATTTGATTGGGCGAGGCTGTGCAAAACATATCCCATTCCATTAGTTTGTGTATGCCTTCCTCCAGGCTCATAAAATGTTTAAACAAATATAAGCTATATCTATACCAGCTGACTGGTATAGATATAGCTTACATTAGAATAGTTGATGATCATGCATCATCAACTTGGCCTTGTCAAACCAAGTTGTCAAATTTTCCCAGTTCACCTTTTTCCACTAGACCTTTTAAATCTTAACCTACCCCCCCCCCCTCCCCATTCCATAACATTAAACACCAGAATCTCTGTTTTCCCAATTTTCTCTTCTTTTTCATTCTACCCCACCCCCCTTTCCCTGATGGCAAATCTCAGTTGTAGCATAATTGACAATTTTATTTATTTTTCTGCTTAAGGTGGTTCTTAAATAGCACAAAGGTATTTGCAAGGCAAAACTAAATTTTTTTTCACTATTTTCCTGCCATCCAATCAGGGTTAGGAGGCTAAATTTTGAGTCAATAACTGGTCCTGAAAATTACTACTGGTACTACATTTTTTGCACTAGGAGTGCCTTTGAAATATAGTATATTCAAGTAGCTTTCCTCTATTGATATAGAAAATTTTCCTAATATATTCCTCTAAAAATCACATGGTCATATCAACTCAATGGCTACAGCATGGTTTAATGAGTTTAACAGAACAAAAGGAAAGCAGCTATGAAACCAGGTGTCAAAGGCATATTAATATTAAACCACAAAATTCAGTTTTGAATGCAGGCACCCCTGGTGTTTTTTTAATTTAAGCTAGACACTTTATTTTAGAACAAGCTTCCAAAAGAACTACCATCAAAGATACTGGTTGCTTCTGGAATATTGCCACCTACTATCCTCCTGATTCAGCTTTGAAATCCCTATAAATTGTTCAGGGGGGACACAAGGGCTTTAACTCCATGGCCTTAAAGCTCCCCACCTCTTCAAGTCCCATACTTGATTGACAAATCTTACTTCTCCTTATAAAAATATCTTTTATCCCACAAACTGATTTGCAATAAAACAAGCACATCAGCTAGAGGGTTTTATCTATCTAGGAAAACACCAAATTTTCTTTGCTACATTACTAGGAGAGGAAATATTGAATCAGGTCTATTGTGTTTGAGGGTAGTATTCCCTATTCAGTAACATTATCTGATGTATACTCATTTTTAAAACTGTATGAAATAAACAATGGCTATTCAAAATCCACATCCAGTAACAACATTTTAATATCCTGGATTTTGAGGTCCAGGCATACTGCCAAAACAGCAGAATGTGTATTATGAGACTGTCATCACTAGACCTCTTTCACAAAAGAGAAAAAATAATATCATGCACATGAGATATAAATATTATATCTCACATGCTTCCTTAAATTGCGACAGCTCCTACTTAACAATTAATATTTGTCCAGAAGATTTGAATTCACTGAAATGGAATCATTCTCAAATCTATCCTTGTAATTTAAAGTATGTAATCTCAAGAACTTTTTTTGCATATTTCTTTGTGGCAACCAACTAAGAGCTTGGTGCTTCTTCCTTAAGGTACAGATACTGTGAAGATATGAGCACACCTCATTTCTAAGGCTTCTGCACCATAAAATAATCACAGCTTCATTTTTAATACACAAAAGCTCTCAAAGAGAACCAACTGGCCTGACAGTGTTTTGAAGGCTGAGGGAGGGAGGGGGGGGGGGAGGGAGGGAAGGGGAGTAGCGTTGCATGTCAGGCCAGCACTTCCTGATTGAGAGATGAGAGACAAAACATCAACTAGAAATTTAAAATAGATTCACTGGCCATTGGAATTATTTGACATATGCTTGTATCCTGACTCATCAGTCCAAAATGATTACAGCATAATCCTAAAAAGCCATTAGAAAAAGCATCGCAAATTCTATTTATATTATGAAGTACTATGAAGTCATAGTTACTGTGCTTAGTTTAAAAATATAACGTAACTTAGGGATATTAGAAATTGAATGAAACAGTTATCGTTTTGAACTTTAGATATCTACTCACAATCCAAACATAACGGCAGAGGAAGAGTTGCTTTGACATTTCACCGAGCTGAACACTTATAGAAAGCTCCATTTTAACCAAATCTGTTACTCTAAACACTTTCATCGAGAGAAATATACAGACGTGACTTTCGTCATTACTCGCTAACATTTCGAACTTTTCCTCGCCTGCCGTGGTAACGTTCATGTTGCAACGAACTAAAGCATTGTAAAGCGCTGAGCGATAGTTGGTTGTGTTATCAATTAGTTATTATTATTATTGTTATTAATTATAATAAGTTAGCTGTCTATTTCTTCGTCTTCTTCTACTGCATTTTCTGAAAAAAAGAAAAACGGTTCTTTAAATTTAAAAAAAAATTTGAGTCTTATGAACCGTACAGTTTTGAATTGGTCAAGTGCGTTGTCCCCCCAAACTACCTCTCTATAACAGAGTTGAAAAATTTGTGAGCCCAGAATCAAATGCGCGAGCGTACTTTATACTCTCGTTGTACTCGCTAAATTTTGAGCGAACGCAACGAATTTATTCTTTAACAATATTACCCTAACCTTATAAAAAGTCGTTCAACATCAGCTGTGTGTTATGCGCTTTTTGTCATCTCCAAACTTGGTACAAACTTCACGCAATGATATACGCACACTGACGTATGAATCAGTTGTTAATTTGCGTGCAACTGACTAGTTGTCTAGTTAAGTTTTAGGGGGACTGTCCACTAAAGAGGTTACGGGTTTAGCTGTGTGATCCTTGATTTACAAAAATACTTACCAACATACTTGAAGGAGTCAAACCATTCCTTTTTGTTAAGCTTGTGATCCCCGTCCAAGTCAGACGAAATCATAAACCCAAACAGGCATTCTTCGTGAGGAATATGCGCCATCATAGCATCAACTTCACCTTTATCTAGAAAGCCATCTCCGTTTGAATCGATGTCTTCAAATTGGAACTAGGGGAGGTGCACACATGATTAACATTCTGATAATCGAAGAATGGTTCAGAAAAAATTAAAGCGTTGCATAAATGACATAAATTACTTCAACACTGAGACTACCAAAGGCATATACAGGGTAGGTTTCAACTGAGTCTAAAGCCTAACCCGCCAATGCGTAACACAATGGTCAAAATACATAGAGCGCGAACAATTTACATTCATCTGAACTCGATTCTATTCTTACCGTCAATATTTCTGTTTTCTCTAACGATGTAAATCCAAGCAGCCTTGCCTGGTTGACAAGACCTTCAAGATCAAGGGATGCTGGATCATCACTGTCATAAATTTCTTTATTTATCATTGCCCATTCTAGGAAGCGTTCTGCAAACTGTAGAAGTTCTTCCTCGGTACATTCATTGATTGGAACGAAGGACTCGTCGACCAGTTTTGAGATCTGCTGACCCTTTGCATACGCTAAAAATGGTAAAAATAAAATATGTACCAGGTTTGTACAACTGTAGTTGATTACAGGTAAAACGTATTCCTCTTTGGAAGGCTTTTCCAATCCTATATACCGAGGGTCATTTTGATTGGTACGTCTAGTCAAAGTCTATGCAAAGAGTGACAAATAATGTTAACTGCATTGCGCCTAACAGTAAGGTCAACGAGACTTCTCTATTTTGGTTCAGCGGTTGTTGATTCCTTAATTTGTCCCGAGCCGTGTGCTTCACGTCCGGTACAGAAAATAGGATAAACGCTGCTTGTATTTTTGTGCAAATCTCGATTGAGAGTTGGATCGCCAAAATTAAAATTGACATGATAACAACCATACTAAAGAAGAAATAAAACACGAAGCTAATGATTATCTCCTTTAAACAAAAAAGTGCGTGAAGTGCGAGAAAAAGTGAACCACCATGTGAATATCGGTTAACCGTTAGCACCTGCTTTCTTGACCAATCACAGAACGAATTCAGTCAAAATTACTCAATCGGAAAGTAGAATTATACTATTAATGTTGGATTAATCGAATACCTTCACATCGTCCACGGTGCCTCACAGCAACGTTGATCTGCATCCTACAGGCGTGGCGATGAACCTCGCACAGGTTGTGATAATCTTCCAGAAACACAGAGCAGTGGGGATCGGGATCGTCATTGCATTCAGTTGGACAGTAACATTCGGGTGATTTATTTTCGACAATGCGGCACATCTTTCCATCCTCGCACATAATCCCCTTACATTGCTCTGTTCCGTTATCTGTTTTGTTGCCTTCAAAAATGATAAATACATTTGGGGATTACGAAGTAGGTTTTCATTCTTTAGAAGTTTTTGCGTGGAGATTTAAGCATGATATGATAGGACATGACCTTTGGCCACCATTGCTTATAACATTGAGGTATATCATACCTTTCTTAACCCCTCTAAGAGATTATCAAGTCTTACCCTTGCTAATCTAATTATACACAAATATAATACTTACCACCCTGTTCACCTCTGCCGATTACAGCTGTGCCATTACCATTCTCAATACCATTTCCATTCTCAGCTCCATGACTGTCTGTGATATCCACAGTTGGCTTTGGCGAAGTAACACTTTTGTGGTACTGACAGTGGTTGGTGAAGCTGTTGTTTTTCCTCAGTTGGTGTAGCTGTTGTTTCTTCCTTAGTTGGTGCAGCCGTTGTTTCTTCCGCAGTTGGTGTAGCTGTCGTTTCTTCCTCAGTTGCTGCAGCCGTGGTTTGTTCCTTAGTTGGTGCAGCTGTTGTTTCCTCCTTAGTTGGTGCCGTCGTTGTTTCGTTTTTAGTTGGTGAGGCTGTTGTTTGGTCTTCAGTTGGTGCAGCCGTTGTTTCCTCCTCTGTTACTACAGGTGTTGTTTGTTCCTCAGTTGGTGCAGCCGTCGTTTCTTCCTCAGTTGCTGCAGCCGTGGTTTCTTCCTTAGTCGGTGCAGCTGTTGTTTCCTCCTTAGTTGGTGCCGTCGTTGTTTCTTTTTCAGTCGGTGAAGCTGTTGTTTGGTCTTCAGTTGGTGCAGCCGTTGTTTCCTCCTCTGTTGGTGCAGCTGTTGTTTGTTCCTCACTTGGTGCAACTGTTGTTTCCTCCTCAGTTGGTGCAGCCGTTGTATCTTCCTCAGTCGGTGAAGCTGTTGTTTCCTCTTTAGTTGGTGCCGTTGTTGTTTCTTTTTCAGCCGGTGAAGCTGTTGTTTGGTCTTCAGTTGGTGCAGCCGTTGTTTCCTCTTCTGTTGGTGCAGCTGTCGTTTCTTCCTCAGTTGCTGCAGCCGTGGTTTCTTCCTTAGTCGGTGCAGCTGTTGTTTCTTCCTTAGTTGGTGCCGTCGTTGTTTCTTTTTCAGCCGGTAAAGCTGTTGTTTGGTCTTCAGTTGGTGCAGCCGTTGTTTCCTCCTCTGTTGGTGCAGCTGTTGTTTGTACTTCACTTGGTGCAACTGTTGTTTCCTCCTCAATTGGTGCGGCCGTTGTATCTTCCTCAGTTGGTGCAGCTGTCGTTTGCTCCTCAGTTGGTGCAATTGGTGTTTCCTTCTCAGTTGGTGCAGCCGTGGTTTCCTCCTCTGTTGGTGCAGCTGATGTATCTTCCTTAGTTGGTGCAGCTGTCGTTTGCTCAGTTGGTAAAAGCTGTTGTTTGGTCCTCGGTTGGTGCAGCTGTTGTTTCTTCCTCAGTTGGAGCAACGGTTGTTTTTTTCTTCTGTTTCTGACTTTGTTGTTTGTTTTCAGTTGGTGAGACTGTTGTTTCTTCCTCAGTTGGTGCCGCTGTTGATTCTTTATCAGTTGGTGAAGCTGTTGTTTGGTCTTCAGTTGTTGCAGCTGTTGTTACTTCCTCAATTGCTGCCGCCGTTGTTTGTTTTTCAGTCGGTGAAACTGTTGTTTCCTCCTCAATTGGTGCGGCCGTTGTATCTTCCTCAGCTGGTGCAGCTGTCGTTTGCTTCTCAGTTGGTGCAATTGGTGTTTCCTTCTCAGTTGGTGCAGCCGTGGTTTCCTCCTCTGTTGGTGCAGCCGATGTATCTTCCTTATTTGGTGCAGCTGTCGTTTGCTCAGTTGGTAAAGCTGTTGTTTGGTCCTCGGTTGGCACAGCTGTTGTTTCTTCCTCAGTTGGTTGCAACGGTTGTTTTTTCTTCTGTTTCTGCCTTTGTTGTTTGTTTTTCAGTTGGTGAGACTGTTGTTTCTTCCTCAGTTGGTGCCGCTGTTGATTCTTTATCAGTTGGTGAAGCTGTTGTTTGGTCTTCAGTTGTTGCAGCTGTTGTTACTTCCTCAATTGTTGCCGCCGTTGTTTGTTTTTCAGTCGGTGCAACTGTTGTTTCTTCCTTAGTTGGTGCTGCAGTTGTTTTTTTCGTCAGTTGGTGCAAGTGTTGTTTGTTCCTTAGTTGGTGCCGCCGTTGTTTCTCTTTCAGTTGGTGAAGCAGTAGTTTGGTCTTCAGTTGGTGCAGCTGTTGTTTCTTCCTCAGTTGATGCCGCCGTTGTTCCTTCTTCAGTTGGTGCAGGCGTTGTTTGTTCCTCACTTGGTGCAACTGTTGTAATTTCTTCAGTTGGTTCCGCCGTTGTTTCTTTTTCAGTTGTTGAAGCTGTTGTTTCTTCCTCAGTTGGTGCGACTGTTGTTATTTCTTTAGTTGGTGTCGCCGTTGTTTGTTTTTCAGTTGGCGCAACTGTTGTTTCTTCCTCAGTTGGTGCAACTGATGTCATTTCTTCAGTTGGTTCCACCGTTTCTTTTTCAGTTAGTGCCACTGTTGTTTCTTTTTCAGTTGGTGAGACTGTTGTTTGGTCTTCAGTTGGTGTAGCTGTTGTTTGTTTCTCAGTTGGGGCAACTGTTGTTATATCTTCAGTTGCTGCCGTCGTTGTTTGCCTTTCAGTCGGTGCAACTGTTGTTTCTCCCTCAGTTGGTACAGCTGTTGTTTGTTCCCTAGTTGGTGTTGTTGTTGTTTCTTTTTCTGTTGGTGCAAGTGTTGTTTGTTCCTCAGTTGGTGCTGCTGTTGTTTCTTTTGCAGATGGTGAAGCTGTTGTTTGTTCTTTAGTTGGTACAGCTTTTATTTCCTCCTTAGTTGGTGTAGCCGTTGTACCTTCTTTTGTTGGTCCCGCCGTTGTACCTTCTTCAGTTGGTGCTAGCGTTGTTTGTTCCTCAGTTGGTGCAACTGTTGTTTCCTCCCCAGTCGGTACCGCCGTTGTACCTTCTTCAGTTGGTTCCGCCGTTGTTTCTTTTTCAGTTGGTGAAGCTGTTGTTTGGTCTTCAGTTGGTGCGGCTGTTGTTTCCTCCTCACTTGGTGCAGCTGTTGTCATTTCTTGTGTTAGTGCCGTCGTTGTTTCTTTTTCAGTTGGTGAAGCCGTCGTTTGGTCTTCAGTTGGTTCTAATGTTGTTTGTTTTTCAGTTGGAGCAGCTGTTGTTAGTTTCTCAGTTGTTGCGGTTTTTGTTATTTCCTCAGTTGATACGGCCGTTGTTACTTTTTGAGAAGGTGCGGGTGTTGTTAGTTCTTCAGTTGGTGCAGGTGTTGTTTCTTCCTCGGTTGGTGCAGCTGTTGTTTTTTCCTCGGTTGATGCAGCCGTTGGTATTTCTTCGGTTGGTGCAGCTGTTGTTTCTGCCATGGTTGGTGCAGTCGTTGTTTGTTTCTCAGTTGGTACAGCTTCAGTTGTCTCCGCAACACGTTCAGCCGTTGTTACCTTCTCAGTTACACCTATTGTTGTTGTTCCCTCAGCTGGCACAGTTGTTTTTCCTTCCTTGGTAGGTGCAGCTGTTGTTGCTTCCTCAGTTGTTGTAGCCGTTGTTTCTTTCTCAGTAGGTCCAACTGTCGTTATTTCCTTGATAAGTTCACCCGTTGTTGCTTCCTCAGTTGCCGGAGGCGTTTTTGCTTCCTCAGTAGGGGAAGGTGTGCTTGTCTCCATCACAGGTTCAGCTGTTATTTCCTCAGTTGCCACAGCACTTGTCATTCCCTGAGTTGGTGCTCTTGTTGATACTTTCTCAGTAGGTGCAGCCGTTGTTATCTCCCCAGTAGTTACAACTGTTGTTCTTTCCTTGGTAGATGCTACTGTTGTTTTCTCCTCAATAGATGCAACTGTTGTTACTCTCTCAGGAGGTCCTGCTGTTATTACTTCCTCGGTTGGTGCAACTGTAGTTACTCCCTTAGTAGGTGTTTCTGTTATTGCACCTCCAGTAGCTTTGACTGAGGTTGTTTCATCAATAGGTGCAGCTGTTATTACTTTCTGAGTGGTTGCAGCTGCTTTTTTCGTTACCTCTGTGGTTTCTTGCACTAAAGTACTTGGCTTGGCTGTCGAAGCCAGTTCCTGGCCTGATACATCGGGAGGAGGAACAGTTATAACGGCCAATGTTGCTCCTGTAGTTTGGATAGCTGATGTTGATGCAATACGTGTTGCCTTGCTAGTAGTTCTAATTGTTATTGCTTCATCATCAGTTGCTACTTTATCTGTAGGTGGAGCTGTCGTTGCTTTCCTTGTTGAGGCAGCAATTGTTTGTTCTTTGCTTGCTGTAGTCTTTTTGATCTCCTTACTTGGTGCAGGAGTTGTTTGCTTTACGGTAGATGTAGTTGTTGTTTGTTCTTCAGTAAATGCAGCCGTTGTTGCTTTTTCAGTAGTTTTAAATACAGCTGTTGTTATGTCGTCAGCTGTAGTCTCTTTGTCAGTAGGAGCAGCTGTTGTTTGTTCTTCATCAATAGATGATGTTGTTACCCGTTCAGTTGGTGAAAATGTGGATGCTTCCTCAAATGGTGTAGCTGTGGTTACTTCCTCAGTTGGTACAGCTTTTGTTGCTTCCTCAGTTGCTTCAGGTGTTGTTTCTTCCTCAGTTGAGGCAGCTGTTGTTTCTTTCAGAGCCGGTGCAGCACTTGTTTCTTTCCCTTTTTGTGCAGACGTTGTTTTGTCCTCAGTTGGTGCAGCTGTTGTTTTTCCTTCAGTTGAGGGAGCTGTTGTTTCTTCCTCAGTTGGTGCAGCTGTTGTTGCTTCCTCAGGTGGGGCAGCGGTTGTTTCTTCCTCTGTTGCAGCAGCTGTTGGTTTCTCAGATGGGGCAGCAGTTGTTTCTTCTTCCGTCGATGCAGCCGTTCTTTCCTCCTCTGTTGGTGCAGGTGTTGATGCTTCCTCAGTTGGTGCAGCCGTTGTTTCTTCCTTTCTTGGTGCAGCTGTTGTTGCTTCCTCAGTTGGTGCAGCGCTTGTTTTTTTCTCTTTTTGGGCAGCTGTCGTTTCCTCCTCATTTGCTGCAGCTGTTGTTGGCTCCTCAGATAGAGCAGGGGTTGTTTCTTCCTCAGTTGGTGCAGCTGTTGTTTCCTCCTCTATTGGTGCAGCTGTTGTTGCTTCCTCAGTTGGTGCAATGCTTGTTTTTTTCTCTTTTTGGCCAGCTGTCGTTTCTTCCTCCGTTGGTACAGCTGTTGATGGGGTCTTAAATGAAGCAGCAGTTGTTTCTTCCTCGGTTGGTGCAGCTGTTGTTTCTTCCTCTCTTGGTGAAGCTGTTGATGCTTTCGCAGTTGGTGCAGTTGTTGTTTCCTCCTCTGTTGGTGCAGCTGTTGCTTTCTCAGATGGGGCGGCAGTTGTTTTTTCCTCAGTTGGTGCAGCCGTTGTTTCCTCCTCTGTTGGTGCAGCTGTTGATGCTTCCTCAGTTGGTTCAGCTGTTGTTTCCTCCTCTGTTGGTGCAGCTGTTGATGCTTCCTCAGTTGATGCAGCCGTTGTTTCTTCCTCTATTGGTGCAGCTGTTGCTTTCCCAGATAGGGCAGCAGTTGTTTCTTCCTCAGTTGGTGCAGCTGTTGTTTCTTCCTCTGTTGGTGCAGCTGTTGATGCTTTCGCAGATGGTGCAGCCGTTGTTTCCTCCTCCGTTGGTGCAGCTGTTACTTTCCCAGATGGGGCAGCAATTGTTTCTTCCTCAGTTGGTACAGCCGTTGTATCCTCCTCTGTTGGTGCAGCTGTTGATGCTTCCTCAGTTAGTGCAGCCGTTGGTTCCTCCTCTGTTGGTGCAGCTGTTGATGCTTCCTCAGTTGGTGCAGTGCTTGATTTTTCCTCTTTTTGTGCGGCCGTTGTTTCTTCCTCTATTGGTGCAGCTGTTGCTTTCCCAGATGGGGCAGCAGTTGTTTCTTCCTCAGTTGGTGCAGCTGTTGTTTCTTCCTCTGTTGGTGCAGCTGTTGATGCTTTCGCAGTTGGTGCAGCCGTTGTTTCCTCCTCCGTTGGTGCAGCTGTTACTTTCCCAGATGGGACAGCAGTTGTTTCTTCCTCAGTTGGTGCAGCCGTTGTATCCTCCTCTGTTGGTGCAGCTGTTGATGCTTCCTCAGTTGGTGCAGCCGTTGTTTTCTCCTCTGTTGGTGCAGCTGTTACTTTCACAGATGGGGCAGCAGTTGTTTCTTCCTCAGTTGGTGCAGCCGTTGTTTTCTCCTCTGTTGGTGCAGCTGTTGCCTTCCCAGATGGGGCAGCAGTTGTTTTTTCCTCTTTTTGTGCAGCTGTTGTTTCCTCCTCTGTTGGTGCAGCTGTTGATGCTTCCTCAGTTGGTGCAGCCGTTGTTTCCTCCTCTGTTGGTGCAGCTGTTGCCTTCCCAGATGGGGCAGCAGTTGTTTCTTCCTCATTTGGTGCGGCCGTTGTTTCCTCCTCTGTTGTTGCAGCTGTTGATGCTTCCTCAGTTGGTGCAGCCGTTGTTTCCTCCTCTGTTGGTTCAGCTGTTACTTTCCCAGATGGGGCAGCAGTTGTTTCTTCCTCAGTTGGTGCAGCCGTTGTTTTCTCCTCTGTTGGTGCAGCTGTTGCCTTCCCAGATGGGGCAGCAGTTGTTCCTTCCTCAGTTGGTGCAGCCGTTGTTTCCTCCTCTGTTGGTACAGCTGTTGATGCTTCCTCAGTTGGTGTAGCCGTTGTTTCCTCCTCTGTTGGTGCAGCTGTTGCCTTCCCAGATGGGGCAGCAGTTGTTTCTTCCTCAGTTGGTGCAGACGTTATTTTCTCCTCTGTTGGTGCAGCTGTTGCCTTCCCAGATGGGGCAGCAGTTGTTTCTTCCTCAGTTGGTGCAGACGTTGTTTCTACCTCTGTTGGTGCAGCTGTTGTTGCTCCCTCGGTTGGTGCAGTGCTTGATTTTTCCTCTTTTTGTGCAGCTGTTGTTTCTTCTTCTATTAGTGCAGCTGTTGTTGGCTCCTTAGATGGAGCAGCGGTTGTTTCTTCCTCAGTTGGAGTAGATGTTGTTTCCTCCTCTGTTGGTGCAGCCGTTGATGCTTCTTCAGTTGTTGTAGCAGTTGATTCCTCCTCTGTTGGTGCAGCTGTTGCTTTTTCAGATGGGGCAGCGGTTGTTTCTTCCTCAGTTGGTACAGTCATTGTTTCCTTCTCTATTGGTGCAGCTGTTGTTTGTTCCTCTGCTGGTGCAGCTGTTATTGCTTTTTCAGATGGGGCAGTTGTTGTCTCTACCCCTTTTGGTGCAGCTGTTGTTTCTTTCACAGTTAAAGTAGCTATTGTCACTTCTTCACTTAGAGGAAATGTTACCTTCTCGGTAGGTGAAGATGTGGTCACGTCCTCAGTAGTAGCAGCCGTAGTTTTTTCCTCAGTTGATGTAGCCGTTGTTTTTTCCTCAGTTGGTGCAGCGCTTGTTTTTTCCTCCTTAGGGGTAGCTGTTGTTGCTTCTTCAGTAGGTTGAGATGTTGGTTCTTCCTCAGTAGGGGCAGCTGTTACTTCGTCCCCATTTGGTGTAGCTGTCGTTATTTCTTCAGTTGGGGCAGCCGTTGTTTCTTCCTCAGTTGGTGCAGCGCTTGTTTTTTTCTCTTTTGGGGTAGGTTTTGTTTCTTCCTCAATTGGTGCAGCAGTTGTTTTTTTCTCAGATGGGGAAGCGGTTGTTTCTTTCTCAGTTGCTGCGAGCGTTGTTTCCTCCTTTGTTGGTGCAGCAGTTGTTGCTTCCTCAGTGGGTGCTGCGCTTGGTTTTTTTGCCTTTGAGGTAGCTGTTGTTTCTTCCTCAGTTGGTGCATCTGTTTTTGCTTCCTCAGAGAGGGCAGCCGTTGTTTCTTCCTCAGTTGGTGCAGCTGTTGTTTCCTCCTCTGTTGGTGCAGCTGTTGTTGCTTCCTCTGTTGGTGCAGCTGTAACTGCTTCCTCAGTTGGTGCAGCTGTTGTCTTCTCTTCTGTCGATGCAGCTGTTTTTTTATCAGATGGGGCAGCGGTTGTCTTTATCTCTTTTGGTGTAGCTGTTGTATCGTCCTCAGTTGGTGCAGCTGTTGTTTCTTCCTCGGTTAAAGTGGCTGTTGTCACTTTTTCACTAGGTGGAGATGTAACTTCCTCAGTAGGTAGAAATGTTGCCACTTCTTCAGTAGCCGCAGCCGTTGCTTTTTCCTCAGCTGGTGCTGCAGTTGTTTTTTCCTCAATCGGTATTGCTGTTGTTTTTTCCTCAATTGGTGCTAGTGTTGTTACTTCTTCAGTAGGTAGAAATGTCCTTACTTCCTTTGATGGTGCAGCTGTTATTGCCTCTTCAGTAGGTGTAGCTGTCGTTTCTTCCTTATTGGGAGCAGCTTTTGTTGCTTCGCTAATGGGTGCCGGGGTTGCTTCTTCCTCCGTTGATGCAGCGTTTGTTTCTTCTTTAATTGGTGCAGGCTTTGTTGCTCCCTCAGTTGTTGTAGCTGTTGTTTCCCTCTCAGTTGGTGCAGCCGTTGTATGTTCCTCAGTTGGTAAAGTTGCTGTTCCTTCCATGGTTGGTGCAGTCGTTGTTTCTTCCTCTGTCGGTACAGCCGTTGTTTCTTTCTCAGTTGGTGCGGTTGTTTTTTCTTTCTTTGTTGATGCGGCTATTGATGTTTCTTCAGTAGGTGTGGGTGTGGCTTTTTCCTCAGTTGGTGCGGCGGTTATTTCCTCCTCAGTTGGTGCAGCAGTTGTCACCTCCTTAGTTGATACAGTTGTTGTTTCTTCTTTTGGTGCAGCGGTTATTTTTTCCTCTGTTGGTGCTGCGCTTATTTTTTCCCCTGTTAGTGCATCGGTTGTTTCTTCTTCGCTTGGTGCAGCTGTTTTTTCTTCCTCAATTGGTGCAGCTGTTGTTTTTTCTTCAAGGGGCACAGTTGTTGTTTTTTCCGTGGTTGGTACAGCCGTAGGTTGGGCTGTTGTTACTCTCTGAGTTGGTGCATCTGTTGTTTCTTCTTCGGTAGGCTCATCTGTATTTACCTTTTGAGTTGGTGCAGCTGTCGTTTTGTCTTCATCAATCGCAGTTGTTGTTTCTTGTACAGTAGATGCCATCGTTTTTTCTTCCTCAGTTAGAGCAGCTGTTTTTTGTTCTTCAGTTGGTGTAACTGTCGTTCGTTCTTCACTTGGTGGAGATGTTTCTTGCTCTTCAGTAGGTTCAACTGTTGTTTTTTTTTCAGTAGCTGCTGTTGCCTCCTCAGAAGGTGCAGCTGTCGTTTGTTCTTCAGTAGGTGTAGTTTTGATATATTCTGTTGGTGCAGTGGTTGTTGCCTCAGTTAGTGCAGTTGTTGTTTCTTCTTCAGAAGGCGTGCCCGTTGTAACTTCTTGAGAAGCTGGTACTGTTATTTTCTCTTCTGTTTTTGCAGCTGTAGGCACTTTTTCAGTTGTTTCTTCTCTTTGTTCTTCAGTTGGTGCAGCTGTTGTTATTACCTCTGGTGGTGGAGCTGTTGTTTCTCCCTCAGTTGGTGTAGCCGTTGTTTGTTCCTCAGTTGGTGCAGCTGTGAGTACCTCGTCAGTTGGCGCAACTGTTTTTTTTCCTTCAGTCGGTGCAGCTTTTGTTTCCTCCTCTGTTAGTGCACCTGTGGTAACTTTTACCGTTGGTGCCGCCGTTATTTTTACAACTTTTGTTTGTTTCTCAGTGGGCACAGCTGTCGTCCTCCCTTCAGTAGGTCCAGCTGTTGTTTGTCCTTCAGTTGTGGTGTGCTTAACGTCTGTGAAGTCTATTGAAGGCTCGGTTGGTTCTGCTCCATTTCCCACGATGTCAATAATGTCATCTGTGGCAAGGCTAACTTCTGTTTTTCCTTTTTGTGAGTTTGGTTTGGTTGTTTGAACCACTGGGGGAACTGCTGTTCTTTCCTTTTTAGTAGAGGGTTCTCTTATAGGAACAGTAGTTGGTTCAACATCTATGATATCTATTAAGTCGTCTGTGCCGGGCTTAGAGAGATCTTCACCATTTTCCAAGCTGTCGCTTATGTCATCGGTAACTTTCTGCGCTTGCTTAGGAGGCGGGGTTTCGCTAGCTATCACCGTGGCTATTGGTGTGGGAAGAAGTGGAGTTTTACTTTCAGAGTTGTTTACTGGTGCAGAAGTTATGACTTCAATGCCTACACCACTTGAATCGTCTTGAATGGGAGAGTAACCAACTAACATTCCCTCTGCAAAAGACAATTGAAGAAGGAGTAAGTTAAGTGATCTCTGCCACATATGAACCGACTGATGTCTTAAGTTACCCTAGAGTCTCCGAGGTTCTGAATTAAAATATCGATGCGCAAAAAATGAGGGTCTGAGGTTCCAATCGTTTCTATGCAGTATGCGGAACGCGTGTTATAGTAATGCCCGGTTTCCCAGAGAGTCTCTGTGGCTCAGTTACAGAAAGTCGCAGCGAGAAATTCGCAGGTCTGAGGTTTGGTTTTCAGGGGTTTCGAAGCGTCTCTTTGTCGAACCCTTGTGACGAGACGAAAAGACGGGAAACTTTGGGGAGCGCCCTCATCCTCACATTTGTCAACATGTGGGAGTTCAATTAAAATCCTTTAAAAAAGCAAGCATTACTCAGAGTATTTTGCTGCTTACGCAGCTAATACTGGAAGAAATTTTCCCTTTAATACAGAAGAATAACAAAGTACGGAAATGCGTGCACATCAAGAATTTCCTATGCTGCGAAGGAACAACGCAGTTGATTGGGCCAGAACTGTCTTGAGCGTAATAAATGAGTCGCAAGGTATCAAGGCCTTGTTGCAATTAATTCCCCTCAGTTCCCACCCCTCCACCACTCACTTCCTCCCCCCCCCTTCCCTGCCTTTGAGATACACCAGGTTATAAAAAACTCTAAATAAAGCTAATAAAAACAATTGTTACAATAGAGGGTGACAACAAGATCAATTCTGACACGTTACTTCTTTTCTTACCGTTGTAAACAGGCTCTAGCTCCGGTTGATTTAGCAGATCGTCATCTGCGATGAATTCTGGATTTCTTGGAAATGCCCTTTCCTCCTGCAATGGTAGTGATTTTATACAAACTTTCGTAAATAGGTCAGTGGAACAAATCCATTTAACCTTTTAACTCCCAGAAGTTATCAACATGAAACTTCTCCCTAAAATTAGCCATACATTATTCAGCAAACAAGTAATGAGAACACACAAACCTGTCAGGTAGAAGTTGTTAGCTTGATCTAACAACAAACTCCTGTAACTAATATACAAGGAAATGTATGGCAACCAGAGATCGTGGGAGTTAAATGTTTAACTTAGTTAGCTTTAGTATTTGTCTTTCTACGAAGGGCTGTCTTTTAATTTAAGTACGTTGCTAAGATTTTTGTAATAAGAACCTTTTTTTTGTTACAGTTGAAGAGAGCTGGGGAAACGAGTTTTCAAGTACCGAGTTATTATTTGCATTAGCTGCTCTTAAATAGCGTTTTCAAAAATGCGTTTGATTTACATAGGTGATTAATATCTGTAATTTAAGAAGAAGATCACTTGTCCGCATGTGGATACGAATTTATTTTCTCGTATAATAATATCTGTAATTCGTATCGAACAACGAAGACAAAATTTCGTATTTACGCGTGGCCACACAGAATCTAGCAATCTCACTAATGTATATTGCTAAATTTAGGCCCTAACAGGCACGTACACAAGCACACGGTGTGCTTGTGTATGTTATTCGTAAGCCGTCAGAAAAGTTTAAAAAAGAAAACCCGCCATTGTGAATTAGATAAAACAAAGACCTCTCCATTTCGGACACTTAGCTATGTCCCTACTGTGTCCGTATTGGAGAGGTTCGACCTTACTGCAAACAAAACTGGTCAACCACACATGTAAAGGAGAACTCGCTTGCATAGAAATTCGCTTTAAATTGTTTCTTCTAAATAAGAACATCTTGTCCTTAAAAACTTGAGCTTTTTCTTCGAGGCGGTAACTTAACAGGCCCGTTACCATTTTTTCAAAATCTACATCCAAGGAACAAGGAATACCAGTGCTCGACTTCGCCCAAAAAACAAATATGTTCTGTTTCATATCCTGTTATCATCACTGTTTGTGTGTCAAAGTTAACGATATTTCGATCTTTAATATAGACATGGCCAGTAAACATTAATTTTCGGAACTGGACTTTCGCAATTCCGAGAAATCGGCCCCAAAGGACATTTCATATTATTCCATGGGTATTTTCAAGAAAACCATCCTTAAGTGAGGGGTGCTAAGAAAAAAATCCTAGGTGATTCCTCGTGTTACCTTAATGTCCGTTTTGAGGAGTTTTTCACGCATGGTTCACGACAGAAAAAGCCGTACTTCCTTGAAGCGTGAGGAAACGTTGTCGTTGAAATCTGTGAGAGGTCTGGGTCCCATCCAGATCCTAAAGATCGCCGTTCGCGCTCCTGTGGCACCTAATGTACTTCCTCTCTCCCTTCTCTGCCCCCAGTGTGGCGGCCACAAAAGCCACATCCAGGGGGAATTGGGCAAGCGCCGGAGTACAGATCAGATCAGAAAATAAAGATACGGGATTTCACGAAAACGCTTGAAATACCAATTTGCATCTCACAGATAACAACGGATCATATTCAAGTAAGGCCTCTATCTTTTAAGAACGGGATTAACTTTCTGGAATCACGCATCTGAACTAACACACAACACTTTCGTAGGATAGCACCAGCATTAAAATCCGTCCTCTACGACAACTTTAAGAATTTGTCCCAGTAGTTATATTGCGGCTTACTACAACAAAACCAAGGCAATTTTTTTCCGTGCCACGTACAGTTTTCAATTCCGTTGTGCGCAGACATGTTTCATCAGTGTGAATGAAATGCAGTCGTCGAATGATAACAATAGTTACAAATCCGTTAATTAAGGCAAACCTAAAGTGGTATTTACACTTTACTGTTGACATAAATATTATAAATACATTTCGCTTAGCATAAATGACGAGAAAATGCTTTCATGCCAAACCAAACAGTCTGCAATCGATCAGAGTTTCGATTATCGCAAGCTGCGTGTGAACAAGTTTAAGGAATAACTCACAATCAGCTTTGGACATTTTTAACCAAAATCTGTTTTAGAGATTTCCCTAGGTGGTTGATTGTTTTAACAAAGAAAGTCAGATTTAATGGGTGCAGTTATTCTCGCGACATAGAAGTATGCAGACATCCTGTTTCCTAAAATAAATAACTCATTACAAGGAGCTTGCTTAATAAACAAAACCTTGCGGAACGTTTAGAAATGTTTTCTTTTCTCAAAAGGCTTGACATTCCGGAAAGAACTCTGACACTCTCGCTGGCCTGTTCTTCAAAAACGATAGTTTTCATTAGTCTGCAGCAAAAGTTTCCTGTTTCTCAAACCAGACTGCTTTTTAATGCTTTTTAAGCTTTTCCCCTTTGATCTCTGAGGAATCAACTTTAATCATATTCCTGCGATGTGGAACATTTGAGGGTATTTAAACGTAACCTTCCAAGAAACCTACTTAACTGTTCATAATGCGATCGTATGAAGCAGAAATAGGGAAAAATTATGGCGTCTGGATTTCAACGACTCCTTAAGGCCCGGCCTGGAAATATTCTGTTGTCGGCTCACATCTGTGGAGGGTTTAAGCTTAAGCGGAGCTTTTGATGGTTGGTTTTTCGTAATGTTTGGAGTTGGAAAACCACTTTTTCCACTTGAGAAACACATACACCGGAAAGTATCCCCCAGGACGAGCAATGGTTTTCCTTTATGGCTGTTTGTACTTCATCAAATCCATTTTCCTAGGGCTTAAATGTCTAGGATCTTATTACGTCAGCGCTTTGTCCAAGAATGAATGTGCAATAAAATCACACTACTCCAGCTGAGTTGTGAAGTAGGCGTTTTTCCTCTAAAGACAGTTTTGGCCCCGCCAAACAAAGCAATTTCCGGTGCGAGAATGCTTAGTTATGGAAAATCGAGATCCGAGCAAAGATGGTTATTCTCCATGTTGCAAACAGATAAGGGATGCGAGTACAGTCTGCAGTCTTTTGGTTTTGGAAGTTGCATGATAACTACTTTTTAAAAGTTCTGGTGTGAAAATCATGACAGAGAACCTTCTCTCAACA